CAAGGGTTTTGAAATACTTTTTTGTTGTGTAATTGGGAATCTGTGAACAGAAAAAACAGATATTTTGAGTATGGGCTTGTATACCTTTAAAGGGACACCATAGGCACTGTATCTGCTTCATCTCATTAAATTGGTTATAGTGTATAGAGTCCCCTGGTGCCATCATTTTTTTCAGCATTAAACAGTTTTTAATGTTGTAATCAGGGACGGACTGACAGTGGCCTGGGCCCCCGGGCAAAATTAACACCTGGGCCCCCAGCAGACCGATATATATGCTGGTATAGGTGTACCGTATATTTGATTGTATATACGTGTAAAGTGAATGCATGTTTCTGTGTGTATATTTACTGTGAGCGCTAGTGTAAGTGAATATATGTATGTCTTTGTGTGTAGTGTCAGGATATGTGGATTATTAGTATATTTGAATACGTTTTTGGTTTTGTGAATAGGGTAGTATTTTTTTGTGTGTGTTTGTGTAGCATGGCAGTATGTATAAGGGGGTATTTGTGAAACCAAGTGTTAAATGTTACGAGCCACCTTAAAGGGACTCTCCAATGCCAGGAAAACAATCCGTTTTCCTGGCACTGCAGGTCCCCTCTCCCTCCCACCTTCCATCCCCGGTTGCTGAAGGGGTGAAAACCCCTTCAGTGACTTACCAGAGGCAGCGACATGTCCCACGTCGCTGCTTCTTCCTCCGCTCATGCTCCTCCCCTTCATCACGTCAGCCGTCGGGGGAGACCTAATTAGACCTCTGCATAGGAAAGCATTGAAAATGCTTTTCAATGCTTTCCTATGGGAATTTTAGCGACGCTGGAGGTCCTCACACAGCGTGAGGACGTCCAGCGACACTATAGCACAGAAAACCTGTGCTATAGACAGCCACTAGAGGAAGAGTTAACCCTGCAAGGTAATTATTGCAGTTTATAAAAACTGCAATAACAACACTTGCAGGGTTAAGGGTAGTGGGAGTTGGCACCCAGACCACTCCAATGGGCAGAAGTGGTCTGGGTGCCTGGAGTGTCCCTTTAAAGGAACACTATAGTGTCAGGAATACAAATGTGTATTCCCCCCTTAAAAATGCAATTTACACACCTGTTTCCCAGCACCGACCAAACTCCTTGGCAGAGTTCATCAATTTAGATGATCTCAGCCAACCCAATGCTCTACCATAGGAAAGCACTAGAAGGCTATTGTGCACGCACAGCAAAACGCTGTGCCAATCACCATCATAGAGATGCATTGAATCAGTGCTTCTCTATGACAAGCGTTCAGCTGCAGAGGGAGCAGGGGGTTGGGGCTGCAGTGGGTAGGGGCTGCAGTGGGAGCAGGGGATAGGGGCTGAGGGGGTAGGGGATGCAGTGGGAGCATGGGGGTATGGGATGCAGTGGGATCAGGGGGTGGGGGATGCAGAAACAGGGGTGGGGCTGCAGTGGGAGCAGGGGGTGGGGGCTGCAGTGGGAGCAGGTGATAGGGAATGCAGTGGGCAGGGGGTGGGGATGCACTATGAGCAGGGGATGCAGTGGGAGCAGGGGGGTAGGGGATGCAGTGGGAGCAGGGGATGCAGTGGGAGGGGGGGTAGGGGATGCACTGGGAGCAGGGGGTGGGGATGCACTGGGAGCAGGGGAGGTAGGGATGCAGTGGGACTGCAGTGGGAGCAGGGGGGGTAGGGGATGCAGGGGGGGGTAGGGATGCAGTGGGAGCAGTGGGAGGGGGTAGGGGATGCAGTGGGAGCAGGGAGGTAGGGGATGCACTGGGAGTAAGGGGGGTATGGGCTCTGATGGGGCAGTAGTGGGGGAAATTATATAATAAAACATTTTAATTTAAAAAAAAATAAAGCTCCCCCCCCCCTCCCAAACCTTACCTTTGGTCCTCTTCTGAAGGAGGGCACACAATTCTGACATGCTGCCTGTAAGTCTGCTCAGAGCAGCTCTGCACAGCTCACTGTGACTGGTGATGTCACTTCCTGCAAAACAAGCTGCACAGAGCTGCCCTGAGCAGTTACAGGCAGCTCAGTGAGGCTGTGTTTAGAGACAGGCACACTGAGGGGCAGCCTAGTGGGGTCTTTGGAAGGCCCTTTAGCTGTCCCTCAGCGTGCCCTGCAAGGGGGATTATATTTTTAGCAGCAGGGGCCCGCGGAAGGCTGTGCGGGCCCCTTACTGAGTGCAGGCTGGCTGGGGAGATTGTTTAACTCCCCAGCTCAGCCATTACTGCACTGCAGCAGGGGCGGGCTCCCCAGAGCCTCGGGCCCTCGGTCCATGATCGATTTGCCCGAGTGCTTAGTCCGCCCCTGGTTGTAATGTTTTAATCCTAAACAAGAGACCACGGCAGTCCATCCCCTCTGTGCTGCTTTGGCTAATAAGGAAGTATTAGCCTGAGCAGAAATGGGTAGCTGTGTGTATTACTAACAAAACAAAAAAAACTGCTCTATACGCTCACTGTCATACAAAACAGGCTGGAATCAATTATAGTAATACAATTAATAATCGTTTATTACTTATACAACTTAACAGCTGAATCGGAACAATAATCATAAAGAGTAAGCATCAATACATCACCGGATATTGTAGCATCACTCCGTGATTGGGGAACTCTCAAACAATCATCGGGGGAAGACCGGGAAAACACCAGTAAGACGTCTTCAATAAGCTCCGATCTTCCCCCGAGAAGTACCCTAATTTATAAACTTGGAACATTAACCACACCCTATTGCGCAAGCGCAATTAATACTTTATTATATAAGCTTTGTGTGAACGCCCGTCCTGAACGCGCTAGTTCGTATGAGCGCGCTACAAGCATGCGCATGTTATATAAACATATCACGCGCTGCACATGCTCAGTATATTGTTTACAAAAGGTGCGGCGCGTGATCAAACAGCCTACACCATTCAACATTTTAAGTAAAATACTCACATCCCCTGATCAGAACAAATAAGAAAAAAAGGTTTAACCTTACTCAAAATCCATCACTATATGCAGAACTGAGTCATTACTTAACTAATTAAAGTCACACACACACATCATTCTTGTCAGAATCGTATCACAATCGGTCCTTAATGACTCTGTTCTGCATAGGTGACCATTAGAACTTTAGGCCTTGTACAAAACATCTTATAGGCCATATAACAATTCCATATAGAAAGTATGATGACCACACAAGCCATCACTAAAACAGGATGTACTAAAAATTTAAATGCCTGTTCCGCAGAGGGTGAGTATCCAGTAAATAAATCCCACCAATGGTGAGACGTAGCGGCAGCTATTGTGCTTCCTAAGTTAACTATTTTATCAGAAACTATGGTGGTACTGAGCATATGCTTTGCAAGACTTTTATTAAGATGTTTAATTTCTTTGTGTACCTGTTCTGAAGCATTCAATATCTTTAACAGTTTTGTTAAATTCAAATTCAAGTTGTCAACCCCCAATGGTGGGGTGGACCATTTCACATTTACACGTATATCCAGATCCGGGGTTAAAACAAATGTTTCATTCTCCCAGATCAGGAGAGATACATTGTGTAGACATCCTGAAAATGGGGTAATCATCTTGGGTACTGCCAACTGATTAGTAGCCATGCAAACCACTTGAGGGGCTATTTCCACCATCCACCGGTAAGTGAAGGGTAAAATAGACCATTCACATACATTAACAGTATTTTGCAATAAACAGGGTTCATAAACAGCAGATTGTAATTTGCAGATTTTACCTTTCAGGGTGTCTTCACATAAATCTAAATTATGTGTGCGATTATACGAATCAATATACAGTCCATTAAATTGTGGGACCCAAAAATGACCTGCTAATATCAATGGTGTTACTACATACCTACACATTATTTTTTTATTACTAATCCTATATGTTAGTGTTCCTTTACATTCTATGTCATTACAAATCATTTTCGTAGCCTCAATACGCAACCAATCGATATTATTAATGGTTCGATTAAATAAATCTCGCCATACTGCCTCATTGCCTGTCATTAACCTTTCCTGCATATTGTTTTTCTGTTGTTGTTGATATATAGTCTGTAGCGTACATATTGTCCAATTTATAAAAACTGTCATATTAAAATTAACGTTAAACTGAGTGATATCAGTAATCATACGGTTAATATCATCGTCAACCTTAACTTGTAGTGTAAGCGGGGCCCATATAGTTGGCATCCATCTAGCATTCAATGTCAATGCATCGTTTATTTTACCACCTGCATTATGCATTCTATTAGCAATTGCTTCAATATCAAAACCATTTAAAGTTCCGGTTAATGCACCATATCCTCCCAAAAGGGTATCATACCAAGCTCGCTTTTTCCTAGTGCTACAAATCTTAGTGGGGGGAAAGGTAACTTTAACTCGGACCATTGTCTTTTGTGCAGTCCTTGCAACAGGAATGCAAGTTGCAGGTAGTCTTTTAATATTTCCGGGGTCAACATGAGCTGATTCAATGTTCCATAAATGTATCCATTGTACAAAATGACTCCTATTGAAAAGTTCTGTTGCATTGGCGCACACAATCAAAGTGTAATTAGAGGGAATCATCCATACAAATCTCCCCTCAGCTGTAAGGTTTTGTTGGATATACATCAACTTCTGTGTAGAATTCCAAGTTCTCCATGTAGGTTCCCAGGACGCTGAATTCTTCTCCGGAAGTATATTGCAGGACATATTCACATGAGATTGAATAGTAATGTTAGTTTTACAAGTCACAAACACATATGTAGGTCGGTATAATGTTCCATCACTTCTTGAAGTGGGATTTCCTTCCCATATAGTGCCATTCACTGTCACGTTGGCCACTGCACATTTTTGATTGGCATTACAAATAAAATTATCTTGTTGTCGTATCCTGGTCGAGTTTTTCCAACTCCAGGTTACATTAGACGTTCCTTTATTTGTAACTTGTACTCCTGGGGTCCATGCAAGACCTCCTGACACCAACAATATGCTTCCAAGGATTCCAAGGATCATACACATGAGAGGACTCTGTGAAAACAGTGATATCCGTTATTCTCGCAAATAACATTTCTCCTGGGGAACATATTCCCATTTCTCAACCCCTGGTCTCATGATCAACAAAGTCCTATCTTTTCCTACTGCTATCACTTCAGCAGGTGAAGGCGGTCCTTGGACATTCTGAACCCAAATCTTAGCTCCAACATTGACAGTATTGGTTGATCCGAAACCTTTGTCTCCCCGCACTGTCAATTCCGTAGGGGCTTCTCCTTCTCTCAGTTCCAATAAATAAATCGGGATTAAGAGCATTTGGGCGGCTCTTTCCCCTTTTGCTATTATTAAAGGGTTAGGGCCTAAATTTATCATTAAGATTTTAATCTCACCTTGATAGTCGGAGTCTATGACTCCTCCTATTACTACTGCCCCTTTTAAGGCAAAACTTGACCTTGTGGCCAACTGGCCATAATGTCCTTCCAGTATCTTACATCCTATGCCGGTAGGAATCATTTTAACTTGTCCTGGTGCAATTACTATTGCTTCTAAAGCATATAAATCTAATCCAGCAGCCGCTGGGGAACCTCGATATGGAGGTTGTGCATCTTGGTGCATCTTCCAATACATGATGGTCTCCATTTTCAAAGTGGATACCACTAAGTTCGGGGTTAACATCCTCATTAATGGGGTCAATGATTCTGTGATTGGCCTATTGTTAATTATCTGCAAGGCCTCTGAAAGATTATCACGCCATTGCCCATAACCATCACCCTCACTGGACAGTTTTTTCAACGTAGATTTTAGGATTCCATTCATCCTTTCTACAAGTCCTGCGGCCTGTGGATAATAAGGAATATGATATACCCATTCAATATTATTTTGGGGAATATGCTGCCTCCAAAAACCAAACAGCCCTATATATGATTGTATTTGCTGTTTGTCAACAGGGGTGGCAAAATGTAATATTTTTTGCCGAGCCTTGGGCAAAATCTCTCGGTGTCCTTTATTCCATTGAATGCCCAAAAATTTTACCACTTGGCTCGGTCCTTGAACCTTGGCTTCATTAATCTCCCACCCTTTTGATCTCATATGTGTTATTGTTTGACTTAACATTTGATTTACTAACTCCTCATCTCCCCCCTGCATAAGAATATCATCAATGTAATGAGTCACTTGCATTCCCTCCGGAATCTTTATCTCATCAATATGTTCGGCCACCGTCCAGTGACAGATTGTGGGGCTATGTATCCACCCTTGAGGCAGTCTTGTGAATGTATATTGCCGACCTAGCCATGTAAATGCAAACTGATCTTGAGCTTTTTCCTCAATAGGTATAGTAAAGAATGCATTGGCTAGGTCTATTACTGCATACCATTGTCCCGCATGTGCCTGTATTTGTTCCACCAAAGTAATGGTATCTGGCACAGCTGCAGTCAATGGCGGAGTGTATTTATTTAATTCTCGATAATCTACTGTCATTCTCCAAGATCCATCACTCTTTTTCACAGGCCACACCGGATTATTCCAAGCTGTGGTCACTGGTTTCATCACACCTGCTTCGACATATTCTTTGATAGTTTCTCCTATTTCCTTATGCCCTCCAGGTATTCTATATTGTTTTATGGCTATCAATTTAGTAGCCGGTGGTATGTGCACAGGTGGCATTTTTACTCGTCCTACCACCACCGGTCGTAAATCAATAAAAATTTTCCTTATGCCAAATGCAAACCTTCCTTCTTCTAAATGCAATGTCATACCTCTAAGTATGTCTATTCCTATAATATATTCAGGGATTGGGACTATCAATACTTGATATCTTTGCAGGGGTAGTCTACCTATTTTCATAGTCACCATTGTCTGTACCCCTTCAGTTATCTTACCTCCCAATCCTGCGATCTTTACCCTGGGACCTTTAAATTTCTTAGGATTTCCGTAGATCAATGTAGCCTCCGCCCCCGTATCGACTAATGCTGGTACTCTTTGTACATTTCCTCCTTTCCAATGAATAGCTAATTCTACATAAGGGCGAGTGTCTCTCTTTATCCATATGGGGGCTTGGCTGGCTACCTATTCTGAATCCTCCCCCTCTGTTCCTTTAGGAGGGGATAAAGGTACTAAATTTTGGACCTTGCTAGCTACCATTGCAGCTATTTCTTCCCAGGGGTATAACTTTTTAAAGTCATCCCATTTAGGCATCCCTTCTTCTCTCCCTTCTTTGGGGGTTTTCTTATCATTTTTCCAATCTCTGTCTACCTTTCTTGCAGATAACACTTTCTGTTTATACATTCTCCATAATACCTGCGTATCTTTTCCATCTATTTCTTCCTTCTTAATACCAGCTTTCAACAAAGCCTGAAACATTTCTTTCCTAGAGATTCTATTTTGAGAACCTTGTCCTCCTTGCCCTGACTGACCTTGATTCTGAGGGAGAGACTTCCGAGGGGTCTCGTTAGACCTCCTTCCCTCATTCTCAGGTTTATCCCATACCCCCATATCCTGCAGTTCTCTCATTCGATCCACCAAGTGGCTCAATGGTTGATCCATAAGGGACAACAGCAACGTCATCATTACAGCTTTATAAGCCGGGGGAGCTGTTTTTAATATTGTAGCTCTAATTCCTGCAGTTAACCTAGTATCCAAATAATTTCCCATTTCAGCTACAAAACCCAATGAAGACCTCATAGCTACTTCTTTCACCCTCTCTATTCCATCTCTAAGGGTGTACCATGTTTTATCATTTCGGGGCATATCAGCCTCAGTGGGGTATTTTTCCATCATCCCCGAGGCTATTATCTGAAGCATATTAGCGGGTTCCTGACCCCGCCCATCAAAATAGTGTCTAAAAACTTTAGACACCATTGGATCTTTGGTAAGGGTCAAGAATCTTATTATATCAGTGGCATCTAAACTAATACCGTTTGCCCCGTGGTCAAACAATCTAACCATCCAGGCTAAATCTGATTCACCGTTTCTCTGACGGAATCTTTGCAAGATATCTTCTACCTCAGCCTGGGTAAAATCTTCCATTACTGCCTTTTCCCTTACACGCGGGACAGGCTCAGTTATAACCAAAGGTTCTCCATCTGGTCCTATCATTTGCTCTCCTCCATCATCCAGAAGGGGAAGCATTTCTCCATTTCTTCCTCTAACCGGACGATGGTCGGGGCCATATTCCGTAGTTCTACGCCTCCTATTGACTGGCTGAGCTCTAATAGGAGTTTGTGGGGATAATTCTTCAACTTGATACTCATCATTATCCTCACTATCTGTTGAATCCCAAATATCCCCATCCCAGGTCTCAGGGTCCCATTCCACAGTAGCTACAGAAAGTGCTCTAGCCACTTTTCCTTTGTTAACTTTCCCTTTTCTTTTTCTGTATTTCACCTGAGCTACCCTTATAGCAGCTTTCTCTGCTATTCTCTGATAATGATCCAATTTGTCTTGTAATAACTTTTGATGGCATTCTAAAATTAGTTTCTTACCATCTAATTCCAATAACTGTTGTTCTAATTTTCTATTTAATAATTTTTCCTTCTCCAATTTTTTGGAGAAGCCAAAATCCAGCTTCGTCTCCCGAGAGAAACAACATCACCCATTTTAACGGGGACTCCCTCCAGAGTTCTTACTACAACCAGAGGTTCCACATCTTTAAGTTTATCGTCCCATGATTCAGCTAACCCATGTTCTCTTAACTCACTACCTAATATACAATACGGAGGTTCGGTCCAGCCGGGGATCTCCGTAGGCACACAGGTTTTACTCTTAGATTTCTCTTTCCGTCCAAACATCTTTTACACAATTTTATTTTGGATTTATTAGAGAAATCCCATCCTCGTCGCCAATTTATGTATTACTAACAAAACAAAAAAAACTGCTCTATACGCTCACTGTCATACAAAACAGGCTGGAATCAATTATAGTAATACAATTAATAATCGTTTATTACTTATACAACTTAACAGCTGAATCGGAACAATAATCATAAAGAGTAAGCATCAATACATCACCAGATATTGTAGCATCACTCCGTGATTGGGGAACTCTCAAACAATCATCGGGGGAAGACCGGGAAAACACCAGTAAGACGTCTTCAATAAGCTCCGATCTTCCCCCGAGAAGTCCCCTAATTTATAAACTTGGAACATTAAACACACCCTATTGCGCAAGCGCAATTAATACTTTATTATATAAGCTTTGTGTGAACGCCCGTCCTGAACGCGCTAGTTCGTATGGGCACGCTACAAGCATGCGCATGTTATATAAACATATCACGCGCTGCACATGCTCAGTATATTGTTTACAAAAGGTGCGGCCCGTGATCAAACAGCCTACACCATTCAAAATTTAAAGTAAAATACTCACATCCCCTGATCAGAACAAATAAGAAAAAAAGGTTTAACCTTACTCAAAATCCATCACTATATGCAGAACTGAGTCATTACTTAACTAATTAAAGTCACACACACACATCATTCTCGTCAGAATCGTATCACACTGTGATTGGCTGAGAGTGTCAGCTGACTGCTTTTAACCTGTCAGAGCTCCAACTGACGGTATGAATGGGTATGACAACAAGGAAGTGTGTAATCTCTGCCTTAGCTACACATACAGAAGGGGCCGGACTATGGGTGGCCAGGGACTCTTATTTTGTGGCATACTGCACAAACATGGTGCAACACTGAATGGAGAGACAGTGCCAGGGCACTCCAGGCACTATAACCAATTCAAAGAGACAAAGTGTTTATAGTGACTACAGTGTCCCTTTAAGTAAACTAACGGGCTGGGGCTTTAAGAAGAAAAAGTATACTTAACAGCTGGGTCGCGTTTGCAGTGGAGAGCCGAAATGAAACTAAACCGCCGCAACGAAACCTTCCACAAGATGGCGCTGAGTCAAAAGCCCGGGAAAAAGGTAAGAAAAATGGCCGCGGCATAGAATAAAGGGCGGGACGCATCTCTATGGAGACGCTAGGGAAACAGATTGTGTATAGAGAAGCTAAGCGGCTGAACGGACCGGCAAAATGCTGGGAGCCGTGGCGAAAGTGTCAGTGCACTAGATTTAAACTGACAGCACAATATAATTAAAGTGAAAGAAATCTGAAGTAATCTGAAGTTGTGGGCTGACTAGAATGTCAGCCCATGTAACATTTGTTAATAAAAGGAGCAAAAATTGCACATAAATAGAATTGAAGAAACAGAAAAAAATATGAAATATATTCAAATGATATTAAAGTGATAATAATCAGCTAAATTGAGCATTAATAGGGATATAATTAGAATAGACTCACCTGGGAGGCTAAGCAGCAAAGAAAGAGGAATTGGGAGGAGCCTGATGGCAGTTTATATTACTGTGATGCATGCTGATTGGCTAAACTTTTTACACTGATTGTTAACTGTTTCTTTGCTGCTGGGAGTTACAGTAAAGAAAGATAAGCAAATATGAAGCCTCCTGTCTTGCCATAAAATTAAGTATGCAAATTAGCATGGACAGTATTTTCTTTTCTTTTCTTTTTAGAACTGTATGGTATTGTAAGATAAAAATATGCTGTAAGTAATTACCATATTTTACTATTTACATGACGTAAAGTCATGATTTTATTAACGACACGGAGGCGAGTATTATGCTGCACTCTTTCTTTATTTCCCTCAGCAGCAAAGAAAAACTTTAACAATGAAATGAACACAGGAAACAGTCAGTAACATATATCTTCCACGGCAACCAACAGCCAATCAGGTTCCACTTTCCAGTATAATAGGCGGTATTCCCTGAACTATTTCCTCTTTCTTGCGATCCCGAACTTGGCCATAATGTCAAGGGGTCCAGACGCCAATCTCTGAAGTCTTCGAGGTGACCGGAGTACCAATACACTGTGATGTTGGATAGTCCGGAAAAACTTTCACCCTACGGTAGCTTTTGCGGACCGGCAATAAATTGCTGCAAAATATATCCTTGGTGCTATGAGAAATGTGCCTTCCTCTCCCCTGGGGAACTCTAACCTGCAGCTCCTTCAGGTTCTCCTCTCGCGAGCTTGGAGTGTTGCCGCGATTAACGCTCCGAATCTCGCAAGAGTGAACTCTAGCAGCTCCTGAGGCTGCTAGTGTTCACTCTCACCACTGCGACCACTGCAGGCGATGTCCACTCGTCCAGGCAAAGGTAACCAGAGAGGGGGGATATCAAAATAACTTATTTTTTATTTATTTATTTTTTAAATTTTTTTTATAAAAAATATATATATTTACTAATCTACCATCCAACCCCATAGAACCACAATCATTATCCCCCCCATACACACACACAGCCCCCCAAACACACACATTACCCCCATACACACACTACCCCCCGAAACACACTCTAACCCCCTGATACACACACACACTGCCCCCTATATACACAGTGCCCCACACACACACACACACACTGCATCCCTCACACATACCATTGGGTTTTTATTTTTGGCTGACGACGGTCCACAAAATATTTCTCCTCTTTTCATCTTCCCCGGGTGCTAAAAGGTTGGATAACCCTGCCCTAAAAGACTGCAATGATGTAGTGTCTTCTATGTTCTCCTGGGGTAAGGGTCTAGGAGATGATTTGAATATTTTAAAAACTGCTACTCTTTTTACACATTCTCAAGGTTTCTGGCATCTGTGCAACTGGCACATGCATAGCAGTTTGCATGATGAGGTTCTATGGTACACTGGGGTTTTCCAGTGTACAAGGTGACCCCCCCCAACCAAACACACAATACACTTTAAAAAAATATATATTCATACAGATGCGTTGCATTTCCCATCTCTTTGTGTTCACATTCCACTCACTGTCAATTTAATGATCTACAGCCTCTGGTAGAGGTTACCTAGCAGAGTTACTGATTTGCAGATACATTGATAACACAGGAACAAAGCTGTCCTGATTTATCTTTTCACCTGTATTTGCAGAGCTGTTAAGCTGGTCAGTGGCAGACAGACACACTCCATGCAATCACAAGTAAGTCACAGAGATATTGACTAATGCCATATTAAAGGAGACTGTTAAAAATCTATCCAGCCTGCATACAGCTTGTTTGACTTATCCTTGTTTGACATACCAGTTGCTGTAAAATCGCTTATCTTTATCATTAGCAATTTGCATTTCCCTAAAGGGAATATTTCTCCAAGAAAAAAAAAAAAAGAAAGAAATGGCATATACCAAACCAAACAGACTGCAGGCACATACACATACTATTACTATTGTTTTTTAATATATCATTTTTTAATTTTTGTTTTTGAAATATATATTTCTAGTTCTTTAGAAATGTCACCAGTGAGTGCCACTAGGTCCATTGGATAGGAAACGTTTAATTTGGTTTTAGCATAGCAGCTGCTGCAAAGAATATTTCCCTTTTGGCTAAGTATTATGGGAAACATTGTTCTTTATCATTGCAGTGCCAACATCTATCCACTATTGACCTATGACGACTTTTTACAGATCTTTCACGGATGGATATAGCCAAATCACTGTAGTGTTTCTGAGTACACTGCATGTCAATAGGCATTATGGGGCTATTATGTTGAAAATACTATGCATAATTCATACACTGCTGGAGCAAACAGAGGCCTTTCTTCATAAATTGGCTTGTCTGGACTGGTGTTTTGATAAATTAATGGAAGATATAAGCAATTATGAAAAACCTTGAGTACCTACTCTCCATTTTTTTTTTTTGTCTACAAATTCTCCTTTGTGTTTTTATACCACCGCCTGATGAAATTGCTCTTTGTCTCTACTAACCTTTACTGCTGCGATTCAATAGCAATGTTTAACTCTCCCCCTCTCTCTCTTTCACTCTGTCGTTCTAGTAAGTGTAATTGGGATTAACACTTGGAAAGATTTAAGCTTTTAAGGAAATGTTTTTATTATATTTCCCTTGTTTGTTTGTTTTTGTTTTTTTTTTATTAAAAAGTCACCCTGATTGAAAAATGTACCAACACAATTCCTGTTTATATTTTTCAATATTCTATTATTATGCTATATAATGACAATCCCTGTCAGAGCGTTAAACAATTTTGATATACTTCCCTAATGCTAACTACAGAATACAATAGAGTTTTAAAAAAACTCTCTGTGGCATCAGCTACGTCGTAGAACTCTACTGCGGATATATAGCAACTTCCATACCTGTATATACATGCCATGCAATTATTTGTGTGGCCAATGAAAAGCCTCATTTCCCTATACCAGTGATTTCATTGAGGGGTGGGCTTGTAAGTAAAATTTGAAAATGTCATAATCTTGAAGGTTAAGAAAGCACGTGTCATTAAGTTGTATAATGAAACATACCTTACATTCAGCTCATTACGGGCTAAATAAATACTGTCCTGATATAATATTTATTAGTAGATTCTCGTTTGTAAATGTTTAAACCGTTAGACCTTACTATGCAAAAGCAAGAATATCCCATGTTCCAAATATTTAAAGTTTTGTTTTTGTTTTTTTTCCCTGTTAAAAGAGGCTACATCTTTAAAAACTCCGGAAAAAAATCTGTCCGATCATTGTGTGACTCTCAGTTTGGCGGCTAGGTGCTGAATGATAACAATAAGTAACTATTCTGCTATCTGCTGACCAAAGAACACATGATTTATACTCCCAGCTGCAGCAATGTAAAACATGTAATGAAAGTATAATAGTGTCTGCATTATCTTTTAATATTCACATTAATATATTTTGTAGATTTCTTAACTGAGATTTGATGTTTCAAATGGTCAAAGAGGGACACTTTAATTTTAGTGGCGTTAATGGGAGTATGGACAGGGGAATGGGCAGGGAAATTCTAGGTGCCTTACTAAGCATTTATGTAACTAAAATGTCATTTAGACAGCCACAATGTAACTTATTTACACAAACTGATTTCTAAACCCATTTATTGTAGTTTAACCAATTAAGAACAGGGACAATAGTACAAGTTCTGACCAAAACAAAACTTGGAATTTGACTATATGTCTGTTCAACCATAATTTACCTATTTTATATTAAGTGCACCCAAACTTATTATATATTATTTTGTTCAGGTGAAATAGGGCTTTCATTTCACATCAAATATTTATATATTGAACATAACTAAATATGAATACAATCTAAAACAAGGGTGTGAGAAATTAAGATAAGTTGTTTTACAAGTTCTGCGTGGCATTTTAACTGTGAATGTCATAATACTGTTCGCTTTCTTCCTCAATAAATTACAGGTATTTGTATGCTGTGATGTCCCACAAGTACACTAAGACCCCCCACATACAGGTTTCCTGGTGTTTTGGACAGTTACAAGGTCAAATAAAGCTTGACCATATCATTTTTAACACTTTGGAATTTGGCAGGTTGATTTGCTGGGCCTATGTTGTAATTGAGACCTTATGGCAGTCCAGGACTGAAAATTGCCCCCGTGATGGCATATCATTTTTAAAAGTAGGCCCCCCCAGAGTATCCCAAGTGGGGTATTTTGAGTTGTTTGGTCTAGCCACTTTCTGGTGGCTAAGAGTAACATAAACAGAGTCATGCTGAGGTTAGGGGATACAGAAATCAGAGTAGTCACTAAAACAAAACCAATAAGTAGGTGCAGGCAGTTGACATAGAGTAATCAGGACAAGCTGTGGTCAGGAATCCAGAATAACATAACGAGTCGCATATAGAGTGTTCTGAAGTAGTAGTTTAACTCTGTATGGTACACTTTAAAACATTCAGATGCCCATAGGCAGGTAGAAATGGCCACTAAGGGCAATAACATGTAGAGTCCCTCCTAACACCTTTTTAGTAGCAGACTCTACACTTTTTCTGGGGTGACTTTTTGTGTCCTATAGGGGGGAATCTACTTTGGAAGTGTCTGTCACAGAATCTTCGGACATCTTGACGTCAATGACGAGGGATTAGGGGGCTGGCAAAATAAAATATCAGACAAAAGCTTCAGGTTAAACTCCAAGAAAGTGTATTGCTTCTCTGTGGCTGCATTTTTGTACAGTATTTAGTGATTATATACTGCAATCGGGACAAGGAAGGTGGCAACTTCTTTGTTGTATTCAACAATGCACTTTTGTCTTCTCGATTTGTGCATTGCTTCTACAGACTGACCCTGGCACTGTGCTTTCGTCATAAAGTGTTGATAACATGTACATGTCCTTTTTGCCTGTGCACCCTGGGGCCAGCACCTCATCATGGCGCAAAGCAGTTGTTGTGCCTTTGTGGTTTTTGCCAGCAATCAGTTTCTGGGAGAAACCTTTACGGTTCTACTTCACTGTGGCACTGGGGTATAAATATATATATTTTTTATTTATTTACTTTTTAAAAAATAAATTTAGAATGGTATAAATATGAATTAGCCATATTCATAAGAGGAAGAGATACTATACAATTCTGTCCCTATAGAATCAGAGCATCCTGTCGGATCTCATTGACTGTCTTTTCCTGCATATATGCCAAATGTCCAGTTATACCCAGTGTTGCATTTACACAACTTATAAAATATTATTCCATACCGAGCTCGCTTTGATGGAATTAACTGCTTGAAAAGCAGTCTTCCCTTGAGCATCAAAAGGGACTTATGTATGCTGATATTTTGGTCAGGTGAAAATGTTTTCTGCAAGTGATCAATTGGGGCCTAATTTTTGTGTTGATGGTCATACTTTGTGCCATTACTTTGGGGCACTGGGTGTTATCACTGAAATGGAGGAAACTATGAAGCTATGTATACCTATCCCTCTTTTTCCAGGGATTATTAAGAGGCATAGCTAGAATGGGGTGCTTATGCCAGTAACTCCTAATACTGTTTTTCTTTTTTTCACAATACCCATTACTAGCATCGGTGCCCAAAACCTCCACATGTCAGTGCTGTCAGAGGGGTGTCACATATTATTTCTGCTGTAGTGAGAATTGGGATTGGCAGCTATAGAAGGGCATACAAATTTGTTTGTTTAGCCATAAGCTCATCATAAACAGGCTAAAATAGTTTTCTGTCTCACAATAATAAACACTTGTTATACCAGCGGCTGCCAAAAATGGAGTACTTCAGTGGTACCCAGTTATGCTCAGACACAGTGCATTGTTACGAGCTCCTTCTGGATGATGTTAATGTGGGAGCCCCATCACCAGAAGGCTAATTAAAGTGCTCTACATTTGACGCAGTAAGTGTCTCACTGCCAGGTCAAAGGGGTCACTCTCCCACCAAATAAAAAATACTACACCAATCAGCAGAATATAGATGTTTTCAAACTGGAACAATCTAAAAAACAAAAGTACATTACATAGTGCAGACAGTAAACACTTAAAAATCAGCCCCTATGTAGGATATAACTCACAGGATGTAGAGCCTTCCGAGGCTCTATGTAATGAGCTAGGGTGCCTGAACAGGCTAAATCGACATCCTAGAAGGAGAGTAGCACAAGAATGGACTAAAATATAACATACATTTATTGGATATAAAAAGGGACAATTCAGCAGTGATACAAAGAAGTATAAAAAGGCATGTAGCCTAATGGACACCGCAAAGTAATTAAAAAGTCCCAAAGTTCAGTTTAAAATAAACATAAACAAAACAGCAAACATGTTTCAGCTCCCGCTGGAGTCTTCCTCAAGTACGCAAAAAATCACAACTGAACACAACAAGCGCTAAAGGGAACTGAAACAGAAACCACGATAGGGCAGGGAGTTAAGGGAGAGGTAAGTATAAATACCCTAGCATTTAATTTGATTGGCCCCTGTCATATCCACGCCCCCTATATGTGAGTGTATGGGGAATGTGGGATGACAGGGGCCAGTGGGAGACCGTTTTAGTTTTTGGCTCCCACTGTCCCTTTAGGAGCGTGCCCGAGACGCACGGTGCGCTCTTAGAGCTAGGCGGGACACGTGACCGCATCTCGCGGTCAGTGCCCGCTGTCATCTGAACCCTGAGCGAGCAGCGCGCGGCGGGAATAGAGGACCACGGCAGGCCCCCGGATAAGGTAAGTACCGCTACAGTACCCCCCCCCTGAAGACACGCCCACCGGGCTGGGAGGACCAGGCCTGGCAGGAAAACGAGAATGGAAGGAAGGCACAAGGCGAGGAGCGTGAACAGTGTCAGCGGAAATCCAGCTGTGTTCCTCAGGACCATAACCCTTCCCATGCACCAGGTACTGGAGGCGACCCCTGAGAAAATGAGAGTCAAGCACAGCAGCTACTTCGAATTCTTCATGACCCTCCACAGAAACAGGAGGAGGAGGAGGAGGAACACGCCGGGTATAACGGTTACACAGGAGGGGTTTCAACAAGGAGACGTTATGAATACGTAGGTTTCCAGGAAGATCCAAGGCATACGAAACAGGATTAACTTTATGTAAGATATGAAAAGGACCGATAAAACGAGGAGCCAACTTCATAGAAAGCACACGAAGGCGGATATTGCGAGTGGAAAGGGTTTGGCTTTCCACTCGCAATATCCGCCTTCGTGTGCCTTCTATGAAGTTGGCTCCTCGTTTTTTTTCCCCACGACATAGCATGGAGCCGCCCTGCGATGCTTGTCAGCTTGAACCTTTTGGCGAGCAGCGGAGTCCACCAAAGAACGCTGAACCTGCTCCCAAGTAGTACGCAAACCAGCAAAATGTTCATCCAGAACTGGCATGCCCTGTAAGGAGAATGCAGCTGGAAGAACAGGATGCCGGCCATAAACAACGTAGAAAGGGCTTTTACCAGAAGATTCATGAGCAGCGTTATTACAAGCAAACTCAGCCCAAGGAAGAAGGTCAGCCCAATTGTTCTGATGGTGGGATACGAAACAACGAAGATACCACTCTAGGGATTGGTTGGCACGTTCAGCAGCTCCATTAGACTGGGGGTGGTAAGCGGAGGAAAACGAGAGAGAAATACCCATCTCTGAACAAAAGGCTTTCCAGAATCTGGAAATAAATCGGCTACAATCGATACAGGAATACCATGCAACCGAAACACCTCCCTGGCGAAGATAGAAGCAAGTTCCCTGGATGAGGGCAATTTGGCAAGAGACACAAAATGAGCCATCTTAGAAAATCGATCCACTATCATCAGGATGACTGTTTTACCATTCGAAGAAGGCTATTCAACAATAAAATCCATGGATAGATTTGACCAAGGCCTCTCGGGTATGGGCAAGTAGTACATGCCTGAACGTAAATCAGTGACATCCTTGCGTAAGGAAGCCCACCAAAAATATCTTGAAATAGCTGTTAAGGTTTTGGAAATACCAGGATGTCCAGCAGTTTTGGTGTCATGATATAATGACATAATGTCCGTCTTTCGGGAACATCAACGAACAGTTTATCAGCAGGTCTCTCTCTGGGTGCCATGTTTTGTTTAGCCTGTATAACTTGCAAGAGTGAAGAAGAAATAGATAGAACGTAGCAACTATTATTCTGTCCGGGGGAATGACATGGGTATCATCAAACTCTTGTTTGTCGGTAGTTTCAAATTGTCTGGACAGAGCGTCGGCTTTAGTGTTACGATCACCTGGTCTGTAGGTGATGATATAATTGAAATGAGATAAAAACAGTGACCACCTGGCCTGCCTAGAAGACAATCGTTTGGCTTCACTAAGGTAGGAAAGGTTTTTGTGACCCGAAAAAATGAGGATGGGATCCTTAGTACCCTCTAAAAGATGTCTCCACTCCTTAAGTGCTAAAATAATAGCAAGGAGTTCTCGATTGCCTATGTCATAATTCTTTTCGGCTTTGGACATCTGCTTGGAAAAAAAGCCACAAGGATGTAATGGCTTTTCAAGTGATTCTCTTTGAGATAAGACAGCACCTACCCCAATATCTGAAGCATCAACTTCAAGAATATAAGGCAAAGAAAGGACAGGATGCTGTAAAATAGGAGCAGAGGCGAACGCAGTCTTAAGAAATTCAAAAGCCTCAAGCGCCTCTGGGTTACGAGTATTGCCATCCTTTTTAGTCATACGGGTTATAGGCGCTACAATAGAAGAAAATCCTTTAATAAAGCGTCTATAATAGTTAGAAAAGCCAAGAAAACGCTGAATGGCTTTCAGACCTTGAGGTAGAGGCCATTCTATGACAGCAGAAAGCTTCTGGGGATCCATACGAAAACCCTTAGCAGAAATTAAATACCCCAAAAACTGGACTTCGGATTGATCAAATAAACATTTTTCTAGTTTACAATAAAGACCATTAACAAGAAGGGTTTTCAAAACTGTTTTAACATGCATGTGATGAGTATGCAAATCTGTTGAATATATTAATATGTCGTCCAAGTACACTATTACAAATGTGTGAATGAACTCTCGTAATACGTCATTAATAAATTCTTGAAACACTGCTGGGGTGTTACAAAGACCAAATGGCATCACAGTGTACTCGTAATGACCACTCCTAGTATTGAATGCAGTTTTCCATTCATGGTCCTTTTTTATACGTATTAGATTGTATGCACCTCTAAGGTCTAGTTTAGTAAATACAGTAGCATGTTTTAGCCTGTCAAATAATTCCATGATTAAAGGTATAGGGTAAGCATTTTTATGGTGATTTTATTTAGACCCCTATAATCGATACAAGGTCTTAAATTGCCCTCCTTCTTCGACACAAAGAAGGACCCAGCCCCTGCTGGAGAAGAGGATCTCCTTATAAACCCCTTTTGTAGAGATTCTTTAATATATTCCTCCATGACATGGTTTTCTTGAGGAGACAAAGGATACACCCTGCCTTTGGGAGGTATAGTGCCAGGCAATAAATCAATAGCATAATCGTAGGGTCTATGAGGCGGTAATTTTTCAGCCTCCCTTTTATCGAAGACAGGCTTAAGAGACATGTACTGAGGAGATATAACAGTAGACAAAGGAGGAGTAGTAGGAACATTAATAGAATTTAAAGGGGTGATTTTAACGATACAAGACTCTTGGCAGGTCTCGCTCCAATATACTATTTGTCCTGACTCCCAGTCAAAAATGGGATTGTGAGAACGTAACCATGGGTACCCTAACACAATGTGAGAGGAAGGAGAGGTGATGACCTGAAACCGAATGGTTTCTGAGTGTAACATCCCTGTATACATATGCAACGGTTCAGTTTCATGTGTAATAACTGGGGAGCATAATGGTCTACCATCTATGGCCTCAACGACCAAGGGTGTCTTCTTCTCTCTAATGGGTATGTTGTGTTTCCTAACAAAACCAGAATCTATGAAATTCTCAGCTGCCCCGGAATCAACCAGGGCTAGTATGTTCCCAGCTATGCAATTCTTTTCCAGATGCAGAGAAACAGGGAGAAGTAATCGGTTAAGAGGCAATTTTGGGGACTTAGATATCACACCCAAGGCCAGTCCCCTATATGGCCTTAGGTGCGATAGTTTTCCAGAAGCACGGGACATTCTTATAGCATATGACCCTTCCTACCACAGTACAGGCAAAGTCCCTCCTTTTTCCTATACAATTTTTCAGCATCAGAGAGTTTGGCAACCCCTAATTGCATGGGTTCCTCCTCTGATACCTTGAAACTCTCAGGATTAGCAACTCTAGGAGTATTTAATGTAACCAAACGTCTATTCCTATTCTTAGTATAGAGTCTGTCACAAATCCTATTGTCTATATCAATGAGATAGTCGATAAGGTCCTCTAATGGGATAGGAAGATCCCTAGCCGCTACCTCATCCAATATAGTGTCAGATAGACCTTCCATAAATGCCGTAGTTAGCCCATTGTTGGTCCAATCTACCTGTGAAGCAAGGGTACGAAACTGAATAGCATAATCAGCAACAGACCTAGATCCCTGTTTAATTCTCATTAACGCCCTGGCAGCATTCTTCGACCTTTTAGTTGTGTCAAAGGTTCTACAAAAAGCCATAAGGAAGCTATCGAAATCATGCACCATAGGTCCATTAGCCTCCCAAATAGGATTTGCCCAGTCAAGTGCTTTATCAGTAAGTTGGTGCATAAGGAACGTGGATACATCTCAAAGTGGAATTCCACTTGATTAATGAATCCCCATGCATGTCTTTGCATCCCCTTCATACCTAGGTGGAGTGGTTAAATGTGCAGAAGCATTAGGCATGGTAGATACATCTGGAACAAGGGGTGCATGAGGAGCTGGTACGGTTACCGGAGTAGCTCTAGAGAAGAGTGTCTGAATGGCCTGAGCTATCTGATCCATACGGTGATCCTGCTCTACAAATCTAGCCTCGTGAGAAGCCATTTGCTGACCTAAGTCTGCAGGGTCCATGGCCCTATCGTAATGTCACGGTAGTATACCCCAACAGGCAAGATTTAGTCCAACAATTGACATTATAGAGCAGATACGTCTTACCGGACCTTAGAATGGCCGGACTCGACGTAGAGCAGAGAAAGACAGACTCAGGAACAAGCCGAGGTCAAGGGTACAATGAGACAGCGAAAACAAGAACTAGCCATGGTCTGGTGACCAAAGATCAATCCCATGGTTTTACCAAGCATAGGAGGAGAAAATCTAAATTTGTTGTCCTACCTCCCAAAATTCTCACCCACCAATCCAGGATATGGATAGCTTGTCTAAAGTAGGGGTATCTCTATTGACATACCTACACTTTGGCCCTAACACACATGATCATGTAAATGCAGTACGTCAGACAGAAAATACAATATTGCTGTGAAAGCGTTCTGTTAATCTTCTAAAATCCTTGTGCAGCTCTGGGCTTGCTAAATTACACATTTTAGGATTATCTCTGGTGTCAGAGAAACTGTATATAACAATGTTGGCGGTGATGTTCGCATTGGATTATAAATTACATTTTCTATAATACATTGATTTTGTGCATCCCCCCCTTTGTACAGTAGATTGCCATTTTTAGAAACACACCACGAGATCTGGGAGCTTGTTGATTTCCTAAACTTTCCTTTTATCTGATATTCTTATGTGTTCATCATCAGTTTCCACAGACAGTCACTTCCTCCTCCCCAGCACTATCTTTATTGACACTCTGTCAGGACTTTATGAAACAAAGGTTGCAAAGAATCTTGAATTGGCTTCAGATAAGAGAAGAGTCTGACTTTCATATGGCCATATGCTACTTTTTTTGTTTTTAGGGTTGGGTTTAAAGGGAAATGCATAATTTGACAACAATTGAAAAAGAAAATTTTTAAGCAGGCAAACAAATACTATTAAACAAATATTGAAAGCAAAATAAAGCAAGGAAAACTTTGAATAGTATGTAATAAAGATGTATAAACTAACTATAAACATGCTCTGATTACGTTATTGGGCACGCTTCTCAGCTAGGGGAGTTTCTTCAGACTACTCCCTCCTCTCTCTTACCCACCCAGCTCAGTTTCACAGCAGTTCACATGACAGAAACAGGAGAGAGACATCAGACTCAGAAGCCTGCTCTGCATGGTCTTTTCTCCCTTTCTCAGGATGTTGCAAGGTGAAGCTATATTCCAATTGTACATAAACCAATCAAGGATGCCCAATGTATTTTTCTGCCACTGCTAGGGATAGCACACTGGTTTGGTTAGTGTCCCCCCATGTGGAAAGCATAAGAAAGAAGGGGGGGTGGAATCACATTTACCTGCTTTGTATCAGCCTGTGGAGTTAGGCAAATGTCTCACGCAAAGCTAAAGATTGTGAATGAGATATTTATTTCAAAGTGATGAATGTCCCCTCAAGTGAATTAACTGATAGTCAATTACAGTGTAATCAAAATCATTCACTGAAAACCAGGGTTATTGTCAAAATTTACAGACTTACAGCTGTTTGCAAATGGAGAAATCAAACAAAAGCAATTGAAATAGCCCACCGCAGCGAATGCTACAAGCAGTTTCTTCAAATTCAACTGAAAAAATGACTTCTCCAGTCTGAGAATTATTCAACCCCTTTGTGGCAAGCATCTTTAGTACCTAGTAGAGCACCCTCTTGCCATTATGACCTGCTGCAAACAAGATACATAGTCAGACACCAGCTTCTGGCAGCGTTTCTGAGGAATATTAGCTCACTGCTCATGAGCAATGGCCTCCAGTTTTAGTAATATTCTTGGGTTTGCATACTGCAACCACTTTTTTCAAATACCACCAGATATTTTCTATGGGGCTCAAGTCAGGTTACTGTGATAGCCACTGTAGAATTTTTCAGGGCTTCTTCTGCAACTAAGTTGGTTAGATATTTTCTTATTAGTAATAAATTAACTCACGGGGGGGGCCTGGCAAGCTAAACTAGCTCCGCACCCCACGCCGAATAAACAGCGATAACTAGCGGTATACGGGAGGGATATGGTCCGGAACAAGAGGCCCAATACCCCGGGACCGGCAGGGACCAACTCCCCACGACGCCATACCGGACCGATGGACGAGTTTATCGCCACATCGTCAGATCTGCGAGGACCGTGACCCGCCGACAAAATGGCGCCCGCCTCCCCGGGCTCGGATAGTGCGGGAGAATCCTCTGCAGCAGGCACCCAAGTGAGTGGACTGGCCCAGATACGGGCAGAGCTTACCCAGATCTCGGCAAAAATGCTGACAAAGGAAGACACGGGCTCGATAGCACAGGAGCTGCGGGCAGCATTGCGTGAGGAGCTGGCAGGCCTGCAGTCGGATCTCACTGCCTTAGAGCGGAGAGTGGACGAGGTGGAAACAGCCGCCCAGGGATGTGAGGACCACCATAGAGCAACAGAGGTTGCAGTAACCAGACAGGGCAACCTCTTGATCACCCTCCGCAGGCAGGTAGAAGATCTGGAAAATAGAAGTAGACGCAAGAATATCCGGATACACGGCCTGCCAGAATCTGAGACGGACGATGAACCTCTCCAAGCCTCTCTGCGCGCCCTATTTACACAAGTGCTGGGGGAAGACGCGCCTGAGGAAATCCGCATGAATCGTGCTCACAGAGCACTGGGGCCTGCGAGACGAGACGGCAGCCCCAGAGATGTAATTTGCTGTATGACCATGCAGGACCAAAGAGACAGGATCATGACTGCTGCTAGGGACAGGCCCTCCATATTGTTCCGCGGAGGGGAAATATCCTTATACCAGGACTTATCACGCTGGACGCCAGGAGAGCGCTACTTCCGGTGACAGGCATGCTACGTGACAAGAGGATCCCATACCGCTGGGGCTTTCCCTTCAGCCTTCAAGCAAAGCATGGAAATACATGGATCACGGCCCGCTGGCCAGAAGAGGTCCCACGCCTTATGAGGACCCTTAACCTACCACCAGTGAGAGTGCGCAACTGGATTCTAGATGAAGCAATAGTAGCGAGGAGAGACCCACTGAATGCATTCTACCCAACAGTCCCACCTACAGAACGGGCCACGCGCCCACACCGCAGAGCGGGTCCAAATGGTCCGGAAGAATGATACTCTAGCAGCTGGACCGGGCCGACAAGGGACTGGTAAGCTGGGACACTCATTGGGGACAAGGCCGATTGCACACATACAGGGACAGGCGGCTGTGGGAAGGGAGTCTCTGGGACTTTGTTGGGGAGGGGGAACGGGCAAGGGACATGGAGCCAATAAAGGGCCCGGGCCTGTAGCGGGGACATATGGACACCTCCCCTACTGAGAACGGTAACACACTAGTAATGGCTTGCAAAGCATGGTTAGCGGTACACGGCAGTGATTCCCGTTCTAAAAAGAACATTGCTAGAGGTGCAGGAGGGCTGGCAGAAAACCCTAGCTAATGCAATGCATGGCGGGTCTCCTTGGGTGACTTTGGGGAGGGTACTCATTGGGGCCACTACCCACGCATTGCCTTAAAAGCGGGAACAGGCCGACCCAGGTCCCCTGAGCCCTCGCCTGCAGGCAATAAGAATATGGAAGGGGATCGGCCCCCGGAAGGACAACCTGGAAATACACCAAAGTCACCCACGACACCTAGGGAATACACGCCTGATGCCAGTTACAGTACCGAAAACTCAGGGGGGGGAACCGGGTATGGGGAGGGAGACATCCGGGACTTTACAGAGGGGGACTTTTATATAGTATATGTTTGAATGTACTAACTTGCCTTTTTGTCACACTGAAACGCACTCGGGGTCATCAGGGAGAGGGGGATGAGGGGGAAAGGGGGGGCGGAGAGGGTGAAACCCCAGGAATAGCCGAGACAAACACAGTAAGACGTGGAGGGGGGAATACAATGGGGCAGGGGAACCAGCGAGCAATATACACTAGCAGATGACCAACTACCCCTCTACAAAGGTACAAGCATACCATAATAATGACGTGGTGAGCGAAGATACATGCTCTTGCAAATCTCCCTCCACGCTAAACATATAGGACTACACCCACAGTGCTCCTAGCAACGCGGACACAACTGTGATAGGTGTGGCTCCCGCCGCCCTCTAGCACTCCCGCGAGGCTATATGGAATAGACGGTAGCGTTCAGCACCCTACACCTCTCCACCTTGCTCCCGGACATACGGAACAGACTCATCCCGACTAATGGACCATGAATTGAGTGACCCCCCCCAGCCCTAACATGACCAGAACAGGGAGCAAATCCCACAGCCTGTGACCCCTAGAGACGAGTCAAATAGCGCAAGCTGGCCAGAGCCAGCCCAAGCCCCAGAACAACACCTAAACTTGTTCACAGCTCCGTTATCCTTATGCCTCCCGTAGCACTCGGCCTGGGGGAGGGGAAATGGACAGTACCACTAAAGTAGTTCCTTGGGTACACGTTACGGTAAGGGACACAGACAATACCAGCACCTGTGCTGGTGTTCCCTTGGACTAGACCCCAGTGATAGACACCACAGTGAACTTGGAACGAGGTACTCTGCACGCCACCTACACGCTAGCCACCATCTACGCAACCAAATGCTCGACAGCATATGTTCCTGCAGGGGACCCTACGTAAATTGAAAAGGTTCCGGGAAGGCCTGCTGATCGTAGCGGGAGACCTGAATGTGGCCTTTGACCCAAGGGTCGACACATCTAGAGGGACTAGCTCTATATCGACCCACTGCCTACAGTCCATCCGAGCAGAATTACACGGCGCCGGCCTAGCGGACTGCTGGAGGGTCCTCCATCCTACCGGTAGGGACTACTCCTATTTCTCCACGGTACACAAGCACTACAGCAGGCTGGACTATATATTCCTAGCTCAGGAGTTCTTGCCTTTGCTCCTCTATGCGGGGATCGGAATGCAGGGTTGGTCGGACCACTCCCCCATCTTAGCATTAAGTCCCCATTATTCCGACCCAGAGACCGACAATGGAGGATGAACAAATCAATTCTTAATGACGGCCCCACGGCTGCGGACATCCGGCGGGCATTAGTCACATATTTTGAAGAGAACGACACCCCTGAAGTGCCCGCTTTGATGATATGGGAGGCACATAAATGTGCAGTCCGGGGCCACCTTATCAAAGTATGCACAAGAAGAAAGAAGGAACAGCAACGACGCACGGACGAACTGCTTAAACCCCTCGAGGGTCTTCATAAGGCCACACAATCAGACGATAGTTACAAAGAGTTGTTGGAGAACAGGAAAAACATTTTGCACCAAAAGCTGCAGTATACGATCCGAAAATCTCAACGCTTCTTCTATGAATACTCAGGTAAGTGCGGTCGATTACTGGCCAGGACCTTACAAAAACAAAGGAGAATGTGCTACATCACTAAAATCAAATACAAAGACCAGCAGGTGACGCAATTGCCTGAGAAAATTACAGAGACATTCAGGGGGTTCTATGAAGACCTTTACAACCTCCCTACGGAGCAGTCGGAAGAGGCAGGCCATCGCAAGGACAGATGGATCACGGATTACCTACAACAACATATCACTAAATCACTAAGCCATGAAGAACTAGAGGCCGCAATGACACTGGAAGAACTACAAATAGCGTTGAAAAGCTCAAAACTGAACAAAGCGCCTGGCCCGGACGGCCTGCCAGTGCGATACCTGAAGGAGTTCAGCGATGTGCTCTTACCAAGGCTTCTAAAGGGCCTCAATTCAATACTGGAAGGAGGAACATTTCCGAGAAACTCCCTTCTGGCGACGATAACAGTTATCCCTAAAGAAGGCAAAAATCCAGCGAACTGCGCAAACTACTGGCCGATTTCACTATTGAACGCGGACCTGAAGCTGTTCACGAAGATCATAGCAACGCGCATGAGAGTTGTCCTGCCGGAATTAGTATACCCCGACCAAGTGGGTTTTATCCCGGGACGGGAGGCAAGGGATAATACCACGCATGCACTGAATGTCATCCACGCGGCAAAACAAGGGACACAGAAGATCCTTCTCCTGTCCTCAGATGCGGAGAAGGCTTTTGACCGTGTGGACTGGTGATTTATGAGGGCAACACTACAGGCCATGGGATTTGGCCCTCATCTGATGACTTGGATCTCTTCCCTGTACACGATGCCTACTGCCAGGGTCAGAATTAATGGAGCTCTCTCCGCACCGGTACACATTCACAATAGTGCCCTCTCTCCCCCCTCCTGTTTGCCCTCTCCCTGGAACCTTTCCTGGGGGAGGTCAGGCGGGACGGGGGAATAGGGGGCTTCACCTTATGGGGAGAAGTACATAAGGTGGCCGCGTATGCGGATGACATGCAATTTTTCATCAGCAATCCAGTATTCTCCCTCCCAAAACCTTCTGAAGGCCTTCGAGGAATATGGACAGTTATCGAATTTAAAGCTGAATACTGACAAATCGGAGGCCCTCCCCGTAACTCTGAGTCCACCTGCGAACGCAGTTCGCTTTCACATGGTGCCAAATCATGCTTAAATATCTAGGAATTTGGCTCCCCATGGACCTATCCTAGCTTTATGCCCATAACTTCGTCCCAATGGCACAAGCTCTGAAAAGCGACCTAGTTCGATGTATCACTTATGTATCACTTGGTTTGGGAGACTAAATGCAATTAAAATGAATCTCCTTCCTCGTCTACTGTATCTGTTTCAAACCATCCCGATCAACCTCCCTGCAAACTTTTTCCACGAAATCGACAAGACAATTTCTAGGTTTATTTGGCAAACCAAAGCGCCCAGGCTGAGCAAGATACACCTTCGTAGGCCAAAGGTGCAGGGTGGGGTGGGGCTCCCATCCATACGGGACTACCATAGAGCTACGCACCTGCATCGTATAGTCGACTGGCATACCCCTAGAGCTTGGAAATCATGAATAACCATGGAGAAAACACAAATGGAGGGAACGCAACCATCACGGAGGACAATGCGCCAGGAACCTTCCGCTTATCGGAGCAATGCTGAAAGTTTGGTACTCGGTACGGGCAAGCTCTCACTAACCACCACGCCGGGTCCCCTAACACCGATAACACACAACCCGGGGTGGCGGGGGGCCTCAAACCCCAAGACATCAGTGCATTTACGGAGGAAGATTGGTCGTACATGCAACAGTGGTGTTCGGCGGACTCGCTGAAACCACTACCAGAACTAATACGGGAAGGGGTCCCGCAGGGTATAGATAGATTCAGATACTTCCAAATCAAGACCTATTACCAATTACATGTGGGGCGCCGCCTGTTCCACAGGCCCATGACAGAATTTGAGAAAACATGCACGGCATGGAGGCCACTACACAGAGGAGTATCTACCATATATGCACTGCTACAAACCTCTACGCAACAAACACCTCTGAAAGATTTGGCGAGATGGGAGGAAGTAACGGGAACCACACTCACTGACACTCAATGGGACAAGATTCACATACTAGGGGGCGTGGCCTAGACACTGATGGAGTAGGACGCACATTGCCTGAGCTCCTAGGCCCCAACTCGTGCAGCCCGCTGTCACAGCATTAAATACCCATATTAATGGGGAAATCAAAGAGATTAACAACCTCTGGACAGGCGAAAGCACCCTCCGCACGGCAACAATCCGGCCCGATGGACGACTTTCTGTCCACACCGCACGGCCTACACGGTACGGGAGACCAGGAGGCCCCGCCGCCACCATCCCCGGGTTCAGAGAGCCAGGTGGGCTCGACCCGCGACTCACCCCCACGAGGCTCTCTCGCCAAGATCTCAGCAGATTTGGCGGCAATCACTGCCAACATGATGACACGGGCAGACAAAAAGGAACTGGTAGCTGAACTTCGAGCGACCATCAGGGAAGAGATCGCGGCCGTCAGGTCGGACCTCACATTGTTAGAACAGCGGATTGATGACCTAGAGGCAGACCGACTACAGGCCGCACAACACCAACAGACCGCTGACCTAGCCGCCACGAGACAAGGCAACATCCTCCTTGATCTCCGCCGGCAGGTCGAAGATCTGGATAACAGGGGGCGGCGGAACAACATCCGGATACGGGGCATACCGGAGGCAGACGATGAGGATCCCCGAGAGCTCCTGACAGGTCTGTTCCACCAAATACTAGGAGAAGCTGCCCTACCTGACTTTGGCATTAAAAGGGCAGACCGGCCCTCAGAGCACCGAGGAATGACAGCCAGCCTAGGGACATCATATGCCGCCTGACCTCATTCGCTCTAAAGGAAAACCTCATGCAAGAATCTAGAATGCAGCGAAACATAATCTTCATGGATGCACAGGTGTCCCCTGCCTGCAGTATCAGTGCTAAACTGGATTCAGGTCCCACAGAGATCACCCAGAACCTAAGAACAGACCAGAGACCTCAACGAAGACGAGGAGGCCCATCAGGCCCGGAAGAATGAGGCAGGGCTGCGCCCTGGCCCTTAGAGTGACTCCCTGGCTACACACTAGGACTACCATGAACACTGCTACCTAAGACTGTGGAAGGGGTATTTACTACCGGGCACCCCTAGTTGGGAGGGGTAATGGGGAAGTAACCACGGATACGTAGCCATGGAACTGTACCAAGCCAACCGGAGATTTAGGTACGGGGGGGGACTCGGGGACTACATGCCTCATGGTGGGGACACGGGAGGTGGGGAGATTGGGCCACTGTGGGAGCCGTGAGGCCTGATCCCGGTAACTATAGGTCCAGGCCAATTCAACCAGACCCAAGGCGGCTGACCGCAAGGCTCCCAAGGCCACGGACCACGGAACCTTCTCCAACAACGGGACGGGTTATAGAGGGGGAGATACACGGGCAGGATATGGGAGTGGGAAAGGGGAAGTACCGGGATTGTTTAAATGTATACAGTTGAAGTTACGCATCACTAGACACGCACATATGCAGACCACTCTGAGACTCGGTACACAGATCCTAACCCACCATACCAGCCCATGGCCTTACTTTAAACAGGACATGTAAATATGGAGGGGAAAGACGGGGGACGTACAACAGGCCCAAGCAACATTAGACAGTAATGAGAAGGCACATAACCTACACAAGGTCACTAGACATGTACGGACCTCGGACCAGCCCTTGATCAGATCCGGACGGTGAACATAATATCTCTCCCCATACTTAACCACAACACTAAATAACCGACAACCTCACACACGGGTTGGGAGCCAATGGAGGACAGTGACGACTTCCTATTACCACAGAAACTGACCCACACTCGCTGGTGCATACTACGAACCCCACTGTAACATACCCAAACTGTAAATATAACTGGAGTTCACAGAGAGGGGCCTAATCCTACTCTCTCTCTGAACACATACACCCGGTTCAGGTAGACATTGCACTCACCCCGGAGGGGTTCGTAGGGGTGTTTTGTTTTTTTCTCCTCTTCTCCACCTTTCTTTTTACCCCTTTCCAACCCTTCTTCCCTGACCAACTCACACCCTCCTCCTCCCATAACCAAGCATTACAATGAGCCTTAAACCGGCAAGCCTAAACTACTGGTCCAATAACGTCCACGGGCTGAATGTGCCCGAGAAGAGAGCACACTTGCTTAGGCGGCTATGGTTGTGCAGGGCATCCATAGCGTTTCTGCAGGAGACGCACTTTAAAACCAACGACGCACCCAAATTGGAGAATAGCCGATACCCGCTAGGGTATTATGGAATCCACCCTGAGGCAAAACGAGCGGGGGTGGCGATACTGTTCGCTCACACGACTCCATTCCAATGCACAGTGACACTACCAGACCCTGGAAGGAGGTATCTATTCAGACCACACTTACATATTGCATGCATATATTGCCCAAAGAAAAAACAACACATCTTCCTGTCCAAAACATTGGCCAAGTTAGAATCCTTCTGGGAGGGTCTACTACTGGTGGCTGGAGACTTCAACGTCCCACTTGATCCCCACCTAGACACCTCCAGGGGATCGAGCACGATCCCCGCGCATTGCATCCGCTCCACTCTGAGGTCCCTAGGTAGGCAGGAGTTGGTTGATTGCTGGAGGATGGTACACCCAGAAGCCCGAGACTACACACACTACTCGGCTGTCCGTTCACGTTACAGTCGAATAGACTATATCTTCATGACACAAGAATTCCTGTCGTTGCTCCAAAAAGCCGAAATAGGGACTACGATAGACTCAGACCATGCCCCAGTCACAGTCACCACCGCCTCCCCATTATATAAGCCGAAGGAACGTCAATGGAAACTGAACGAAGACCTTCTAGACAACCCTGTACTCACCACCCAGACAGCACAAACTCTGATCCAGTACTTTGAAACCAACGAAACGCCGGATGTCTCCCCGCTGACCGTGTGGGAAGCGCATAAATGCGTCATCCGGGGTCACTTCATCAGTGAGAGCACCCGACGCAAACGGGACAGAACGCGTCGTATAACCACCCTGACGAAACAGATAGCCGCCCTTGAACAAGACCACAAAAGCACGTTGGATGAAGGTACTTACCTGCAGCTTACTACAAAGCGCCGGGAACTCTGTAACATACTCTCCCAGGGGCTACTGTACAGCATGCGAAAATCGTCCAGACACTTTTACGAACACTCTAACAAAAGTGGGAGACTACTGGCTAAAATGCTCAGACAAACGCAGAGGTCAACACATCCACAAGATTCAAACCAAGAACCGAGACACCACCAGGCTCCCCGAAGGCATTATGGAATACTACTCGGAACTGTATAACCAAACGCAATCCAGGCAGAATCACGCGGGTCGCATCACTGAATACTTAGAACGACACGTCTCACATAAACTAGCCCCAGAGGTCGCAGCGGATATGGAACATCCCTTGACGATAGAGGAACTAGCCAACGCACTGAAACTTTTCAAATCACACCGAGCCCCCGGTCCGGACGGACTACCACTAACCTACTTGCGCAAATTCCGGGACATATTGCTACCGAAGCTCCTAACAGAACTCAATGCCATATGCCACGGCGAGCACTTCCAGACGGATACCTTACGCGCAGTGGTCACGATACTGCCAAAAGAGGGAAAGGACCCTTCCACCTGCTCCAGATACTGTCCGATCTCTCTGCTCAATGCCGATCTGAAGCTCTTTGCCAAGGCCATGGCACTCAGAATATCCCCAACATTGCCGGAACTGATACACCCAGACCAGGTCGGGTTTGTGCCTGGACAGGAAGCAAGGGACAATACCATCCGCGCCCTGAATGTCATTCACTCAGCCACAAACGGAAAAACGGAAACGGTACTCCTGTCCACCAATGCCGAAAAGGCTTTTGATTGGGTGGATTGGATGTACATGTCGGAGACACTGCGGCATCTGGGCTACGCCCAAAACATCCGTGCATGGGTAGCCACATTGTACACATCACCAACAGCTAGAATACGCATCAACGGCGCTCTAACGGAGTCTTTTACCATCCATAATGGTACCCGTCAGGGCTGCCCCCTGTCCCCCCTCCTGTTTGCCCTCTCTCTTGAGCCCTTCCTAGAGGCGGTCAGACGGGATGAAGGAATGACGGGGTCCCGCAGCGGCACAAGCGAGCACCGGGTATCAGCATATGCCGACGACATGCTCTTCTTCCTGGAACAACCCAGGATCTCACTCCCTAACCTACTAGAGGCATTCAAGCAATACGGGGCAGTATCGAATCTACTTGGACAAATCCGAAGCCATGCCAATCTCCTCGACGACAGACACAGCATCGCACCTCGGTGCACACTTCCCGTTCAGATTGTGCGCTACTAAGCTCCGATACCTAGGGATTTGGCTCCTAGGAAACCTTGCACACATGTACCAAACAAACTTTGCACCCCTCCTCACGACTATACAGGGAGATCTGAGACGGTGGGCTTCCCGCTACATTACCTGGTTTGGTCGCATTAGTGCGGTCAAGATGAACCTTTTACCTAGGCTGCTGTACCTTTTCCAGACCATATCCACCACCATCCCACAAGCTTTTTTCCGCACCCTCACAACAGCGATACGACAATTTGTCTGGAATAAACGACCGGCCCGGATCCGCAGGTCAATACTGGAGAGGCCAAAGATTGAGGGAGGAGTAGGCCTACCCTCCATACTCACGTACTATTATGCAACTCACCTACTACGCCTGGTTGACTGGCACACTGAACCAACCTCCAAACAATGGGTACAAATGGAAAAACTCCAAGCCCGGGGTAGCATACCCGCCATGCTTTGGCTAGGAGATGCCACGTTCAAGGAAGCATGGACGGGTAACCCCATGATCGACGCGACCCTCAGGGTATGGTACGGAATACGGTTCACCAAAAAGCTCACCACATCCCCCAGCCCGCTCACACCCATAACGCACACCCAGCCTACACCCAGCCGCACTGGAAAACTTCCTGGCCACCAACTGGGTGCATTTGCGCCAATGGAGCACAGAAAACGGAATCAAATCACTGACAGACCCGATGCCTGACAACAGGCCCACTACACTAGACGTATTTCATTATCACATGATCAAAGCATATTATTCTACACTGACAGGTAAGGACCACCTCCGCAGACCCCTCGGGTTTCTAGAACAACAATGCAACACAAGGCAACAACTCGCACACGGAATCTCAGCCCTCTGCTTGGTCCTACAGGCGGAAAATAACGATACCCCCCTGGGTTTCACAGCAAGATGGGAAAGGGAAACGGGTGTTGACCTGACGGAACAGGAGTGGACCAAAATTTTCACACTGACGCATAAAGAATCAATCAGTTCGAAATACCAGGAGAGCAACTACAAAAGCCTGACATACTGGTACAGGACACCAGACGTCCTAAGAAATGTACATGAATCAATCTCATGTCCCCGGATAGCGCCATACTGGCACATGATAAACCAACAAATCTGAGACATCACGGAGTCCGACATGCCACTTCAGCCACTGACCATGCTCCTAAACCACACACACACACCGATAAAGGCATACAAAAGAGGCCTTACCATACACCTACTTACAGCGGCTAAAACACTAATCCCCACACACTGGAAGAGCACGGAAATTCACACCTTCCGACAGAGTGGAGGACATACACAACATGGAAATGATGACAGCATCCCTGCAGGGATGCTCGGATAAATGCGCTTTGACATGGTACCCATGGACATTATTTCTGTCACGAAGGGCCACACAGACGGGACCAAGCAGGAACGAGGGGAAGAGAAGGGACGCTCCCACGGAGCCTCCTTAGACACCCGTAGTGGACTAGCATCGTAAGTCTGATCAGGCTCCTACCCCCCCTCCCTCCTCTCCCCCTCCTCCTTCCTCATCCCCCTCCCTTTCTCTCTCTATCCCCACCCCCACTTTTTTTTTCCTCTATTCTTTACCTTCCTCTTCTTCAATCTCTTTTGTTTCTTCCCTACACACGTTGCCAACGCTCAAACAACGGGCTATGAATCCAAACCGCAGTCCCCCCTGGGCGCGAAAGGTAGCTCAAACAAACAGCAGATAAACCACCCACCGAGTGATGCCGACACCAGAAATGGCAACCCACACAAAAGAAAAGAGGAATCACACGACGCACCACATCACTCACGACTGACAGCCATGACACATATAGGTACACAACAACACGACGCAGACGAACGATAGAACCATCACACGCAAAGGCACATAACCGAGGAATTACAAGACCTGTGCCCGAGCAGACGACCCCGACCGCTACACATCCTCAGGGCATAACAAAATTCAGGCACAGGACATGTGGGCTTTATGAGACTACTTCTACTCAATGTGCCTACCTGCCAACACGCTTAAAAGTTACAAGAGATGGCTAAGCCACCAAAAATAGAAATCTGCAGTCCCAAGCCTAACATGAGTGGCAGTGGGCACACACTGGGTCCCCGACGGCAACCAAACCAACACGGCACAGTTCACTGCACTAGCAATACCTACTACCAGCAGACCTGCAACACGCCCTGACGTAACGCCACAATGTCCCACAGTAACACATAACGTCCCCTGACCGGGATCACTAGCTAAGGAAGCAACTAGGTCGCGGTTGAAATCGTTAACAAGGGCATTAGGCCCCAGCAGCCATCTTATATGCAGTGTAATGTCTTTCACCTGGTTAACAAACTGTCCACATATATTGTTGAATCTGCCACTTTGGAAGACACATCCGGGCAGCCCAAGCACCTGCACTATGCCACTGCTACACGGATCGTTCTGAGTCTCCCAGTTAACGTGTAATCACTAAGTATCAATATGTTGTTGAAGACGCAATCTTACTAAATGTCTGTATTGCTATTATAGTCATGCACACCTTGGAAAAAGTGGCGCACTTAAACCTTTATGATACTAACCTGCAAAGACAATGTTTCCATGTCTTACAATTGTGTGAAAACTAAATAAAGAATGTCAAGATTCACATACTAACGCATCAGGGCACGTTGAGCTCCAAACACCAAGAACTGAATTACAAACTGTTAACGGGTTGGTACAGAACGCCGGAGCGCCTACATAGAATGATACCTGAAGTCACAGACGTATGCTGGAGATGTGAGACAGAGGTGGGCACGGACCTCCACATCTGGTGGTCCTGCAAACATATCGCCCCCTACTGGAAACGAATCCACACGCAGATAAAAAACATCATGGACTCAGATCTCCCTCTTCAGCCACTGCAAATGCTCCTCCACCTCACTGACATGCCTCTTTCGAGGTACAAAAAAATCACTCACAAAACAACGCCTAAATGCAGCCAAATTACTAAGTCCCCACGCTGCAACAGTGGATGGAGAAGGTGTTAGAGATCCACGGCATGGAGCAGCTTACAGCCTCCTTGAGGGGCACGACGGAACGCTATTTAGAGACATGGACACCATGGCTTGAATTTATCTCAGGTAGAACGGCCTGAGCATCAGGAAAGCGGAGCCCCTGCGTGGCCCCCACAGGGGTGACAGGAATATAACCACAATGACAAGACTGAGATACCCAAAGGTGACGCGGACGGGCGCGTAGCTGGGGGGGCCCTGAGGGGGGCAGGTCGAACCTATATAGAGAGTACGAAGTTGTGGGGGAACCCTCGTTACCGCAACCCCCCCCCACCCTTTAACCCTCACCTCTTACCCGATCCCTTCTCTACCTCACACACGGACCGGATACACGCACACACCAGCTCTCTTCTTCCCTTTCCCTAACCATCATACACACAAATTACACACCAAATCAAACACAGACCACCCAGGATGCGGACCCTGAAGGGTCAAAGACAAAGAAACAGATTGGGCGGGACAGAGATTAAAACCTAGTCAGAAAAAAGGGGCAGCAGAGCTACGACAAAGATGCATAATGGATCACAGGAGACTGTGACCCAACAAACTGTTCAACAACGCAACGGCCCTGAATACGACTGACACCCAATACCCTACAACGGCCCAGACTAAGTGAGAAAAGGCCATAATGTGACGGATCCCCTAAAATAGTAGGACACACACAAACAGGGATTAGGGACAACTCACAAGGATCTCAATCTCAGTGTAACCACTGGCTGCAATCCCAATATAGTCAAGCATACATGTAGGGAACTTCCGACCTCGATCCACTTACTGGAGAAAAGTTAGGAAAACTCAAGGACTGGTAGAAATTAGCTAAAAAAGGAAGTATACCCACACTTGTCTACAGCGCTACGGTTCAATCTTAGTATGACAAAGGAGGGAGGCCACTAGGTTCACGTGCTCATTTGAAATATACCAACTAATACATAAATGGATAGGACTCGTTTACATGTTTTACTGTTAAATTGCATATCTCGATTTCATGACAAATGTTGTGCGTATTGTGACAAACTGAGACACTATGATTTCCTGTTGAGCTTGTTATTAATATCAATGTCAATGTCAATTTTCAAAACTGAAATAAAAAGCAAGATTGACAAAAAAAAAAAAAAAAAATTAACTCATAGGCATCTAGGTTCCATGTTCCAACTGCTGACATTTTCTTAATTTTAGCAAGGTTTATTCAAATATTATGGCTTCACAAAAAAGTTGCAAAATGACACTGACAGACAATAAGAATGACTGGCAATCCCCTTTCTTTTCAGTCAGAGGAGCTGTATGGTTCTTCAAGTTATAGAAAACTGAAGAGCAAATTTATGGTACCTACCTTGCTGTTCCCATTATCTGACCGTGTTTGGTTCCTGTGTCCCTTTTTTTGCTGGTCCCTCTATGTCCTAGACCTTTTATGAGGCTGTTGCCATGTGCATAAACTTTTAGAATGCCAGCCTATTGATTCAATGCACAAAAGTGCATTATTTTCAGAGTATTTTTGTTCTAGGTTTCTGACTTCAACTCAGTTATTGACTATTCTATGTACTCCTCAGCTTGGCACTCATTAACATATTCTGGCCTTTCTGGAATCCTGACCTCTGCTTGTTTGACCTTACTTACCTGCTTCAATTATCTCTTGGCTATCCTTAGGCGATTTGTATTAAGCCATATGACTCAGAACCAGTAATATGCTCTGTCCTTGTTTACTCTATACTGTCTGGGGTGTGTGTGTTGTGTTATACCTTATCCTGACAAAGTCCCATAGTCTGGTTTAAACAGCAATGTTTTATACCTTGCTATGGTCTACAGGGGTTTGCAAACTTTGGCACTACAGATGTCATAGACTACATCTCCCATAATGCTTGTTACAGAGAAAGCTGGACATTGTTAAAAAGAGCTATATTCACTACCCTGAGGTCTCTCCCTCTAGCTAGCAGGCACAGCTAGCAGATCACACAAGAAACCAGCCACTGGGTCATATAATTAACCTGGTAGGGACAGAGCCCTCAAACCGGCCATTTGGAAATGTTCATATGATTGAAACTCAGCTAAACTTTTAACCCTATGATCAAAAATAGGGTAGACTATTAGAGCACTATTTTGGCAGAGGTTAGTTTTGGGGTGAGCAATCCTTTGGTTTATGGGGGAACTTTTAACTAAAGGGGAGCAAGACCCCCGACTTGCACCAGAAATAAAATGTTGCGGGTGAGAGATCGTATTTGTCCCATACCTGATAAACCATGGGTGGGTTCTTTTCAATAACGTCCTGCAGGATGAATACATATTGTACCTATGCAATAATGTATACTTGTTTTCACCCTTCGTCAAGTCTGACAAAGCATCATTGGAGATGTAGTCCTGAAGTGCCGATGGTTGCAGCAGTCCAAATTCAATTATGAGTAAATTAAACAAATAAAGAAACATGATAACTTTTTTTTTTTTTAGAAGTAAAAACCGGAGTAAAGAGCGTGTGGATTTTGGGCTATATATGAAACTGTAAGCTACATATGGTCAAGCAGCAGTAAGCGATGTATTGCAACCTTCGGCACTCCAAGATGTAAAATCATGATGATTGCAGCAGTTGGTGAAAGAGTTATGTTCAACTATATCAAAATGTTGATATTTGTAGTTTGCAATGTAACCACCATCATATCCCTATAATTTCATGTAGCCTGCAAAACCATGTCCTTGCCTTCTAACATGATTGATTTCACTTCTACTATATATATATATATATTGTGATCCTTGTCACCAGGTAGCACGGCCCTCTAGGGTAAAAACATGCACAGTCCTTGTAATTGCATATACTCAGGCACTTTATTTGTAAATCCACACAGGATACGGCAGTAAATGAAAAACAAAAGTAACAGAAAACCCTATAAACAAACACCTAGCTCGTTGAGCACTAACTGACATTAGTTCCCTATCTCTCAGGGTTAAACTAAACACAATATTGCACCAACCTTATTAGAGAGCAACGCTCTGCTATCTAACCTGTTGCTTTCCTTTCTGCACTCCCAGTGCTCCAAGCCAGCCTTGCCCTGACTGCTTTGCTTTCTGCACTCCCAGTGCTCCAAGCCAGCCTTGCCCTGACTGCTTTCCTTTCTGCACTATCACCACTTTTAGCTGTGCTGTAACACCACCACCAGTCACCATACACATCTTTAAGCAAGTCAATACTATCCTATGCAGAGCCCTTATTCCTACGTCACATTGTATTGGCTCTTCACTCTCAGGACAGTTATATGCAATATGTCCTTGCATGTGGCAGTTGAAGCATCGGAGGTTTTTCTCAGTCTGGTCTCGTAGCCAAAATAGGACTTTTAGGTACGTTCTACCATCATAGGTATATTGTCCCAGACTTTGTCCTTGTTTTCCAGTTTCCCCGCTTATCTGGTTGCTAGCGGATCTAGGCTGAGGATCAGTACTGTGTGGCTCCTTAGTAGCCAAGTTCCTCTGAATCATCATCTGCTTCCACATCCATAGCAGCTTCTGATTTGATAATTTCTCAACGTTAGAGTAACTTTCAAAAGCAAACTTTGCAAAGGCTTGGCATGTAGCTATACGTCCAAGTCCTTCATGAGCTGAATTTTCCAGGTGCTCAACCTCTTCAAGACCTGGTTCTGTCACCAGCTCATCCTTCACTGGAACAAGTCCCTCCGCGAAGGGCTCCACAACATCCTCCATCTGTTCTGCGAATCCCTGGGAACCTGCCTTGCTCCCTATGGGGTTAAAAGGCCTATCTGCCTTCACTTTATCACAATATATATATATATATGCGTTTATTATACATCAAGCATGTCAAACTTGCGGCCCGCATGTGGCCCACAAGGACCATCTTTGCGGCCCAGCGAGCCGCGAGTACATGCCTAATGTTCCAAGCAGAGTAGGCACCTGCTCTCCCCACATTGCAGGTGCCTACTCTGCTCAGTTACACGGCCAGGGGAGAGGTCTCTGGCGGCAGCGAGGGAGCTCACTGTTCCTGCTCCTCACTGCTCCCTCGTGCGCCGTCTGAAGTGAAGCTGGGCGCCGGAATATGACGTCATATTCCAGCACTCTGCATCACTAAACCTCGCGAGGGAGAGTGAGGAGCAGATAGAAGGACCCCAGGGAGATGCCCCTCATCAGCTCCAAAAGGTAAGGAGCAATAAGGAAAAGAATGTGTGTGAGTGTCTGTCAGTGTGTGTGAGTGTCTGTCAGTGTGTGACTGTCAGTGTGTATGTGTGTGTCTGTCAGTGTGTGTGTGTGTGTGTGTATCTGTCAGCAAAAATGTGTGTGTCTGTCAGTGTGTGTGTGTGTCAGTGAGTATGTGTGTGTGTCTGTCAGTGTGTGTGTGTGTCTGTCAGTGTGTATGTGTATCGGTCAGCAAAAATGTGTGTGTCTGTGTCTGTCTGTGTGTATGTCTGTCTGTCAGTGAGTGTGTGTTTGTCAGCAAGTATGTGTGTGTCTGTCAGTGTGTCTGTATGCCTGTGTCTGTCTGTCAGTGAGTGTGTGTGTCTGTCTGTGAGTGTGTGTCTATAGGTGAGTATGTGTGTGCCTGTGTGTGTCTGTCAGAAAGTATGTGGGTGTCTGTCAGTGAGTATGTGTGTGTGTGAGTATGTGTGTGTGTCTGTCAAAGAGTATGTGTGTGTCGGTGTGTCTGTATGTGTGTTTCTGTCTGTCAGTGAATATGTGTGTGTCAGCGGGAGGATCAGATTTGGCACAGGATGGTAGAGGGGCATGCTGTGGTTTAGTAGAGGGGGGCGGGGTTGCGATTTAGTAGAGGGGGGTGCTGTGGGTTTTTTTATACTGTACTTTTTAAAATAAACCTACGTTTCTATGAAAATGTAAGGGTTTTTTTGGGGAGGGGTCCACATAAACTTAAACCTTGTTTATGTGGCCCGTGCCAGACTTTGAGTTTGACATGCTTGTTGTACATCATCCCAGGTAGTTTAATTTCTGCGAATGTTGATACTCCGTTTAAAGCATCCGTTTAAAATAAATTGATACTAAAATGTAAAAGCACAAAATTTCAAAGTCAAAGGAAATTGTATGTATGCGTGTCTATCTATCTGTCCTAATAGGATTTAAAACTAGCTGCCCCCCATAAAGCAAGTGTAAGCCAAAATAAATAAAAATAAAAAAAGTAAAAATACATAAATTAAATATATATATATATATATATATATATTTTTTTTTTTTTTTTAAATCCTATTATGATTTACACCAAGCATCATGCCCACTTCAGTAATTTGAAGTGGTCATTGTGTCGGGAGTCATGCATGTGCAGCATTATCCTATGCAAGTTTAACTCTATTGCTGCCAAAGGCTGAACTCTACCTCTGGCAGCGTCACTGGTTCAGGACTGTCATCGGCATTTTTCCATTGCCGACCGCTGACGGTCCTGAACCGTCCTAACGGTCTTAGTTACTTACCCGATCGCCGTCGTTACCCTGGCGGCGATCAGCGGTGGGTGTGGGGAGACTGACTGCAGCCCAGACAGTCTCCCCACACCGGATTAGGACCCCTAATCAACAGAGCGATCACATGGTCACAATAGGTGTCCATGTGTCTGCCTGCAGGGGGACTGTCTGTGCTGACAGGCAGTCTCCCTGCAACTGTAAAATCATTAAAAAAAAAAAAAATAAAGTTAAAGGACCACTATAGTGCCAGGAAAACATACTCGTTTTTCTGGCACTATAGTGCCCTGAGGGTGCCCCCACCCTCAGGGACCCCCTCCCGCCCGGCTCTGGAAGGGGGAAAGGGGTTAAAACTTACCTTTTTCCAGTGCTGTGCGGGGAGCTCTCTGCCTCCTCTCCTCCTCGATCCGCCCCGTCGGCTGAATCGCACGCAGCAGGCTAGCTTGTAGCACTTAGCCGAGCAGACATTCATAATGCTTTCCTATGGGCGCTATGCTCTCACTGTGATTTTCACAGTGAGAAGCACCTAAGCGCCTCTAGCAGCTGTCAATGAGACAGCCACTAGAGGCTTTGGGGGAAGGCTTAACCCATTGATAAACATAGCAGTTTCTCTGAAACTGCTATGTTTATAAAACAATGGGTTAACCCTAGAAGGACCTGGCACCCAGACTACTTCATTAAGCTGAAGTGGTCTGGGTGCCTAGAGTGGTCCTTTAATGTTAATTTAAAAAAAAAATTGTTATATATGTGTGTATATATATATATATATATATATATGTCTATATATCATATATATATATATATATATATATATATAATGTCATACTAAGTGTATTTTTATATTAATATGTACATAAATTAATATAAAAATACACTTATAATTAAATTACACACATATATATAATATATAATAACTATATATATTGTGTATATATATATTATTATAAAATACAAATAACAAGTAATTTAAATTAAAAAATTTAAAAATAATTTTTTTTTAAACTATATATGAAATTTTATTCTTACTGTATTTTGATATTAATATATATATATATATTTATATCAAAATACACTTAGAATGAAATTGTATATATATCTATGTATATATAAATAAAAATAATACGAAATATACATATGTCTATATACAAAATCACATAAATAATTATATAAATATACAAATATGCATATATATTTAAATTCTACGTGCGTATTTATGTAATATTTTTACATAATTAAGTAATTTTATTGATTGCAATTTGAGGGACCTGCCTGCCGAAAGTCCTGAGAATTTAATTTGCTAGCACTGTATTTTACCCTGTAACGTTCTACGACACCCTAAAACCTGTATATGGGGAGTACTGTTTTATTAGGGAGACTTCTCTGAACACAAATATTAGTGATTCAAAACAGTAAAACATATCACAGCGATGATATTGTCAGTGAAAGTGACTTTTTTTTGTACTTTTACTGATGATATAATTGTTGTGATAAGTTTTCCAGTTTTGAAACACTAATATTTGTGTTCAGCAGTCTCCTGAGTATAACAGTACCCCCCATGTACAGGTTTTATAGCTTTTTTGAAAGTTACAGGGTCAAATATCTGGGTCAAATATTTTTACATTGAAAATGGCCAGGTTGGTTACGTTGCCTTTGAGAGTGTATGGTAGCCCAGGAATGAGAATTACCCCCATGATGGCATACCATTTGCAAAAATAGACAACCCAAGGTATTGCAAATGGGGTATGTCCAGTCTTTTTTAGTAACCACTTAGTCACAAACACTGGCCAAAATTAGCATTAACCCCTTAAAACCGGAGGACGTACAATTACGCCCTCTAATAGGCGGCTCTAAACGCCGCCGGGCGTAATTGTACGCCCTCCGGTTTTTGTTAACTTACCCGGTCGCCGGCGGTCCCACGCCGGCGATCGCGGTGGGGGGGACTCCCAGGGAGCCCCCCGCGGCACATCTGTCCTCGTTGAAGCCCCCCGGCCATGTGAGAGTGGGGTCCTAGCGAGGACCCCACAATCACATGGCCGGGTATAGCTGGCTTCTGTATTGCCGGCAGGGGGGCTGCCTGTAATGACAGGTGGTCCCCCTGCTGGCTGAAAATAAAAGTAAAATAAGTTAATGGTGTAAAAAAAAATATTATATATACTTAGATCATATATATATATTATATATATGATCTAAGTATATATATACACATATACATACACACACGTACACCGTCTAGGTGTATTTTACTATTATATATATAATTATATATATATATTAATATCAAATTACACGTAGACTGATACTGATTAAATATATATATAATTATTGTTATATATATATTTATATATAATATAAAAAAAATAAAAATGTAAATACGTTAAAAAATAAAATTAAAAAAATAATTAAAAATAAATAATTAAAAAATATATAGATGTATGTTATTTCGTTCTAACTGTATTGTGATATTAATATATATATATTTATATCAAAATACACGTAGAATGAAATAATATATATATCTATATACATAAATATATACGTATATATCACTATATATACCTATATATAAATAAAAATATTTTTTAAAAATTATATAGATATATACATATATATACACATACGTATATATATACATATATTAATTCTACATATATATTTATGTAATATTTTTACATAATTAGGTATCTTAATTACAATTAGCAGGACCTGCCTGACAACCCATGCCGAAAGTAAAGGGAATTTAATTTGCTAGCACTATATTTAACCCTATAACTTTTCGAGACACCATAAAACCTGTACATGGGGGGTACTGTTCTACTCGGGAGACTTCGCTGAACACAAATATTAGTGTTTCAAAACAGTAAATGTATTACAACGATGATATCGCCAGTAAAAGTGAAGTTTTTTGCATTTTTCACGCACAAACAGCATTACACGGACAATATTATTGCTGTGATACTTTTTACTGTTTTGAAACACAAATATTTGTGTTCAGCGAAGTCTCGAGTACAACAGTACCCCTCATGTACAGGTTTTATGGTCAAATATAAGGCTTATGTTCTCATTTTCACATTAAAATTCGCCAGATTGGTTACGTTGCCTTTGAGACCCTATGGTAGCCAAGAATGAAAATTATATGATGGCATACCATTTGCAATAGTAGACAACCCAAGGTATTGCAAACAGGGTATGTCCAGTCTTTAGTAGCCACTTAGTCACAAACACTGGCCAAAATTGGCGTTTTTTGCATTTTCACACACAAACAAATACTAACGCTAACTTTGGCCAGTGTTTGTGACCAAATGGCTACTAAAAAAGACTGGACATACCCCATTTGCAATACCTTGGGTTGTCTACTATTGCAAATGGTATGCCATTATGGGTGTAAATTTCATTCCCGGGCTACTATACAGTCTCAAAGGCAACGTAACCAATCTGGCGAATTTCAATTTCAAATGTAACGTGCTATATTTGACCCTGTAACTTCCCAAAACGCCATAAAACCTGTACATAGGGGGTACTGTCTTACACGTGAGACTTTACTAAATACAAATATGTGTATTTTATTGCAGTAAAATCAAACAGTATTATGACACTGACCTTTAAAATGCAATTTAGAACTAAAAAAATCAAACAAATCGTATTTTCTCCCATTTTTTTCATATTAAATTATGTTTCATAGCTAAATATTTGATATTAAATGAAAGCCCTGTTTCCCCTGAATAAAATGATATATAATAAGGGTGGGTGCATTTACTATGAAAGAGGTGTATTACGGTTGGACAGACATGTAGCGCAAATGCCAGGTTTTGTTTACATTTTGTTTTGTTCACAATGTGTACATTTGGCTCCGTCCTTAAGGGGTTAAATTTAGTTTTTTACTTTTTTCACACACAAACAAATATGAATGCTAACTTTGGTCAGTGTTTTCGACTAAGTGGCTACTAAAAAAAGACTGGACATACCCCATATTGAATACCCTGGGTTGCCTACTTTAAAAAAAAATGATGTACATGTGGGGTGTTATTCAGAGATTTATGACAGATAATAGTGTTACAATGTCACTATTGATAAATTTTAAAAATGTATGTTTTGAAACCACAATATCCTACTTGTACCTATAGCCCTATAACTTGCAAAAAAAAAAAGCAAAAAAGCACGTAAACACTGGGTATTTTTAAACTCAGGACAAAATTTTGAATCTATTTAGCAGTTTTTTTCCATTCGCTTTTGCAGATGAGTAAAAGATTTTTCAAATAAAAGTAAAAAAACATGTATTTTTTTCAATTTTTCATCATTTTTTTTAAATTAAATTACATGAGATTATATAAATAATGGTATGTAAAGAAAGCCCCTTTTGTCCTGAAAAAAACAATATATAATTTGTATGGGAACAGTAAATGAGAGAGAGGAAAAGTACAGCTAAACACAAACACCACAAAAGTGTAAAAATATGCCTGGTCGCAAATGTACAACATCGCAAAAACAGTCTGGTCCTTAAGAGGTTAATGTAGTTGTTCTGGTAAGTATAGTCAGTCCCTGCACAATTTGTAATGTAAACACTGCCTTCTCTGAGAAAAGGCAGTGTTTACATATTGCCTAGTAACACCTTTAGTGGACGTCATTCACCTCTAGAGGTGCTTCCTGTGACAATGCTGCACAGTGTATAACACTGGCGTTCAGAATCTCCACACTCTGCATGAAGAAGCTGAATGTTTCCCATAGAGATGTATTGATTAAATGCATCTCTGAGGAGATGTTGATCGGTTCAGCGCAGCTTTTTGCTGTGCATGAGCAATAACCTCCTACAGAAAAGCATTGGATTGGCTGAGAACATCAAGTTTGACTGGGGCAACGCTGGAAAGAAGGTAAGTATATTCACCTTCTCAAAGTAAAGTGAGGGGGGCCAGGGACTTAGTCATTTTACCACTATAGAGTCCGGAATACATGTTTTTGTTCCTGACATTATAGTGTTCCTTTAAACTAAAAATTCACCTTGAGTTCACTTTGAATTCTCACTTTAGTTTATTTTGTTCAATTTACCCTTGTAGTAAAAGAGAGTGCCTTTTAGAGTGTGTGATTGTTAGAAATGTCTCTTACATGAAAGAGACATATTTTCCCTTTGAAGATCTGTTAAGCTCTGCTAAATTATTCAGAGCATAGTCCAATTATATACAAAGAGTCAGGAAGGTGATAATGTACCAGAGCTTTGTATGGTTGATTAGAGAAGCCATTTCTTTCAGACTCTTTGCCCCTAAACTGGTGGAAAAAAATAAAAAAATAAAATAAATCACCAGGCTATTTGCAGCTAGGGAGATGTGAGATTTGAGCAGAGAAGCCGTGCATTAGGTTTTTTGTTTTATTTATTTTTTATAGACAGTACTCATTACCTGTTGACAAGTGACAACATGTGACAGATGTCAACTGTTTGCACAACAGAAGAATACATCTAGATGAGGAGTAGGAAAAGAAATGATTTAACAGTGGTAGTTTAAACCATACTTTTAATCCCAATATATTTTAAAATGTCTGTACTTTGTTCATTTATGTTATTACACATTTTGTACTCAGACTGTGAATTTCTTTAGCAGTCACTTTTAACCTTGGCCCTCTTGTTTAAATATCAATCCTTTTTCTCCCCCACCTTTGCCCCCCATTACTTCAACAAACTGCTAAGGTTACAGTTTTTTTTCCCGGTGGGGGGCGGTGGGTAATTGCGCAACATTTCAGTAAAAAATTGACAATTTCAGTCCTGCAAATATTAAAGGGACAATCTAGCTCACAATTGCAGACTGTTATAAAACATTGCTGAGCTTTGTAAAGGCTGCTATTTACTCACTTGCCAAAGAAATAACAAAGCACGTTGACATGTGTGATAATGGTTGTGCAGACAGGGAATGGTTAACGAAATCCTGTGGCTCGGCCGTGTTATAGAGGCTGATACATGCAACTGGTTATACGAAGAACAGCCAATAGGAGGTGCTGAGAGTACTTCTGATTGGTTATGGGGCTAAATTGGGCAGACCTTCATGGATTCTTGCTGCAAGGCCTGTGTCTACAACGCTACAATTAAACCGTTTCACTGCCAGAGCCTGCACTCAAGCTTCCAACAGGGCTGTTACAAATTTATAGTGCTGGTTTATTAGGTGAGGATTTTTTTTGCTATGGAAAGAATTTTGACAATTGGCTGTAAAGAGGGTTACGATTGTCAAAGCTTTCTGAGTTTAAAGTTAGTTTGTGGAGTTTGTGATTAAAGTGTATTTACTATGTTTTGTGTTTCTCCCTATATACATGAAGGCTGAGTGGCTCAGTATGACTGGGCAGCCTAAGGCTCACTCCAGATCCCCATTGAAAGCATATTAAAGCAGTGTTTGGAAACAGTCTTCATGGATTCTAGATCCAGCTGTTTTGTGGAGGGCTGGTAAATGACCGTGGCACTCATCGTGTTAACCTGCCTCTTTCTGATGCATTCCAGCTGCTTCTGCCAAACAAGTGAATGTTTGTCTTAAGAGCCTAGGAAAGCAGGATGTGGTAGACCTATCCAGCACATATCCTCTACCATTACAGTGTCTGGACAGACTTTTATTCCAGTTTATAAAGCTGGCTTAGTACAAAAAAAAAAGAAAAAAAAAAAAAAAAAAGAGAAGGGAAAAAAAACCTCCCAGAATGAATCACTTCCCTTTTGTATGCAGTTTGTCAGTCACAGGGCTCCTCTTGTAACAATTTCAGGCTGTAGTTTACTAGGGTTCTGTGGAAGGAATAAAGGAGGGTTTAAGTGAGAGACGTGCACCCAGAAGCAAGACCACCCTCTGCCTCTCCCTTTTTGACACGCTGGTTTTTTTTCTGCTTGCTTCTTCAGGATGTTTCAGACTGTGAGCGACTGGTTTTGGTGGGACAGAATTTGGCTGCCATGTAACTATACCTGGGATGATTTGGAAAACAGCGAAGGAACTGGCTCGGTTTCCCAGTATCAGCTTTTCATCACTCTCCCTTTGGCTTTATTCTTCATGCCCCTCCGATATGTTTTCGAAAGGTAAGAATGTCTCACCCTGCCCTGTCTTTTCCAGTATGGATTTCACACTTTACTATTCTTTTCCGTTATATGATTCTGGAACTCCAAACATTCGCAGTCCAGCCCTCCCTCAGGCAGGAACTAAACTTGTTGCATTAGTTTGATAGAATGTATAAAGTCCCTCTCTCTTAGCAGGGTGGGTAACCCATAATGTTACTCTTATTTGAGGATTATGAATGTATCTAGTCCTATATTCTGCCCGGGGTAAATAAAGATAGTGTGAAACTATATGCTAACTTTCTTACTGCATGAAACTTCTCAATTCCGACAGTATAGAAAAGCATGACGTTTCTTTCATTTAAAATCTATTGTGTGCATACAGACATTTTGTTTGTTTTAAATATAACACATTTTGGTTGTTTACAAAACAGATCGCTTGTGGCCTTCTCATGAGCTATGTGATTTGCAAAAAAAAATGGCAACTTCTTTTTAGTTTAGTTGTGAAGGTTTTTATTTTGGCTTCTTTTAGGTCAAGTGTACAGTTGCTTTCAATGGGGGATATTTAGTTTCTTAAATCAAAAGAAATACCTCAGTTGTGTCAAAGCATACAGTTTGGTTACTAAACTAAATTAAAAATAAAATGGAGCCAGCACAGAAATGTCCCCTTTTGGACTAAAATAGATGACCTAAATAAAATAGAGAAATGGAGTATTCCTCCCCACCCAATTTTAATTTTTGTAGCTACATTTTTCAAATCTCTTCTCATTTCTCCACAATTCCTAGTTTAGTGGATCTACCCCACAATGATTTAACCATGTGACAGCAGGAAGCCGGTAGTTAACTAGGCCCCTGTTAAAAAAAAATCCTTGCAGACATTGTTTACCTTTTTTTTTTTTTTAAATAGATTTTCAAGAAAAATTCTATACAACCCATTAATAAACACTAAAGTATTTCCAGCTGTAAAAGATGGGTAATTTCTCACACCTGATCCCAAATATTTTTGTGGCAGAACTCGTTTTTTAAAAACAATTCTGCATCTTTTAAAGGAACACTCCGACCACCGTAATCACTACAGTGTTCTGTTTTAAAATAGTATGAATACTACTTAATTTTAAAACCATTTGATTCATTACAATATATTAACATAAAGTAAAACTGAATGATGCAACAGGTCATATTTGATTTAAATATATATTTTTTCCCTTAGTAGCACTTAGCTTAAGGATCCCCTTAATGTCCAGTCAGCCACTGTTAGTAGAAAGGTTGATTTTTACATAAACATTAGTGATTAGAGGAACATGTTTATATAAAGTTTGTGTAGGTTTGTCCTAATTGTATGCAATTAGATGAAAGAAGTTAAAAAAAAAAAGTTTACAGATTTCACTTGGGGAAAAAACTTTTTTGATATCTCACAAGTTCCTGAATATCACTTTTTAAAATTGTTTTGATTTAGTAATGTACCCGAATATTCTTTCCATCAACTTAATAGGTATATATCCTGCATCGTTTGTTCCTTTGCATTGTATTATTACTAGATACTATTGATACATTGTAGAATCAAATTGCAAAAAAAGTGCACAATTCAAAGTACTTAGGAAGTGAAAAGAGCTCTAAACACCTTGAGTTGTATCCCCTAAACCACCTCCACAAATATATATATATATATATATATATATATATATATATATAAATTTAGCTCCCCTGTATGTATGTTTTATACATTGTATAATGACTGCATACATTAATATAGTATACATTTTCATGCATATTGCTATATCTTTACCAGATTAATGCAACTCACCATAAGCCAATGATAGTGAAGTAATGGCAACCCAGCTGTTTAGAGTTTTGTTTCCTGACATGCTTAGTCTGAGCATTTTTGGTTGGCCAATATCATTAAACTAATCAACGGTGAAAAACAAGCTGCTTATTACCCGGATACAAGGTTTATGTATTGAAACTCTACTTCTGTTCTTGGCTGTGTGTCACACAGACCCAAACACAGTTTAGATTACCCACTTAAAAGGTTACTCCAACCACCATGACCAATACTGAGTTATGTTTAATTGTGTGCTTGGGGATTGTTAGACCCCCGGCACACGTGACTTAGGCAGCCCAGAACATTTTTTTCTGGGCTGCCTAATGTCAATTCTGTGCATAAAAAGCTGGCAACAGACTTTAAAAGAGAGCATTCCCCTATGTAAGAAGCCTGCAATTGGACCTGGTGCAGAGGTGTGGAAAGTGGTTTCCAGGTAAGTAATAACTTTATTTTAAAGCTTATTTTTTAATTAGGGGGTGGGGGACCTAAACTATAATGCCCAATAGGATATTATACAAACAAAACAAGAAAAACACAGCATGGAAACAAAAAGGTAGGTGTTACCCTTTAACCTTGTATCTTGATTCCAAAATTCTTGCAAGTTACAGATTTGCAGTTTACATCTTTTTTTATTTGAATATGCCACTTGTGCTGACGGACTGATGTTTAGTAAACAGACATTTGAAGTATTTATTTATATTTAACATGTCCAGCTTTGTATATTGTTGTGCAGGAAGGTTTTTGTTTTTCTTACAAGCCAGAGAAAGATTTGGGCTGCATACCTTCTCTGCAATGGATGATATAATCTGGCTTGTATGAACAAGGCCTCTGGTCATGTCTCACCCTGAGGCAGCACTGTGAGTCTGTGTGAGTCACTACCATGTGCTGCTACCTCGCACACAGGGCCAAGAAGCTCTGGGTGTGTAGTGTGGATTTCTGCTGATAGCACAGTCATCATCTCCATGAAATTTAAATTCAGCTGTACATGGGATGGATTGTATGGTTATAATTATATTAAGATTTCTGTAGAGAGGTCAGAGCAAGGTTAGTTAGTGATTAGTGTTTCAGCCGTGGAATTGCAACTCTCAGCACCTTTAGTTCTGCAACAGCTAGAGAGCTACCTGTCTGTGTAAATAGGTCTGATCTGGCTGTAGTTGTTTAACCATAGAAACACTTGTTTGCAGAATGGCACAACAAGCACTCTGCTTATAGACTGTCACTCACAAGCAAGGCTGTACCTGGTGTTCTTATCTGTTTGCGATTCTACATTACGCTTTTGTTTTGAGTTCTACGATACAATGGAAACTGTTGAGCATCAATATATAAGTAAATCATTCGCACTATGCATATTTCAAAAATTTACTAAACCATGTTTTTCTTGATCATTATGGAAACCAAAACATGTTCATGGGGAGTAAGGATCCCCTATTAAGTGGGTGCTTTGCTGTAGGATAGTCCCTTGATTCCTTTACTGGTGAATTCAGATACAAAGGGGTTGCAGCACTCCATATCATAGAAATACATTTGGAGTCAGTCATGTCCAAAACTAATCTAGAATCTAGATGTGTGCTTTTTTGTTTTTTTTAATCAGTATCTTTTGTTTTAAAATGTTTGGAATGTGATAGAAAATATTTTAATTTAAAATGTCATAGTGTCTGTAAATATATTAGTGAACCTGAATATGTATTTGTAATTATTTGTTCACTGGACCAGATCTGGAAGTGTTCATTTAAAAAAAAATAATACTTTAATCCTTCATGCCATATGCAACAGGAAGCGTTAATTAAAGGGACACTATAGGCACTACAACCACTTCATCTAATTGAAGTGGTGTGGGTGCACTGTGCCAGTCCTTAACCCTGCAGTCTTAAACATTGCCGTGTTAAAACTGCCCCTAGGTGTTTCCTGCTGTTACAGAGTTAAAGGACCACTATAGTGCCTTGAGGGTGCCCCCACCCTCAGGGTCCCACTCCCGCCGGGCTCTGGTGAGAGGAAAGGGGTAAAAACTTACCTTTTTCCAGCACTGGGCGGGGAGCTCTCCTCCTCCGATCCTCCTCCTCTCCTCCCATTCAGCTGAATGCGCATGCGTGGCAGGAGCTGCGCGCGCATTCAGCCGGTCGCATAGGAAAGTATTTACAATGCTTTCCCATGGACGCTTGCGTGCTCTCACTGTGATTTTCACAGTGAGAATCACGCAAGCGCCTCTAGCGGCTGTCAATGAGACAGCCGCTAGAGGAATTGGAGGAAGGACTAACCCATTTGTAAACATAGCAGTTTCTCTGAAACTGCTATGTTTATAAAAAAAAAAGGGTTAATCCTAGCTGGACCTGGCACCCAGACCACTTCATTAAGCTGAAGTGGTCTGGGTGCCTAGAGTGGTCCTTTAACTCCATGAAACGACATACGTTTTCCCCTAATTGTACAGCGCTGCCAAATATGTTGATTCTTTATAAATGCTAGTAATTAAAATCCGCTACTTGCTATGGCACACAGGTTGAGTGGAATAAATAAAAACAAGTTAGACTAAGTAGCTTGTCTATGGTGAAGGCTGGATTCATAGATGCAAGTGGAATTCTTGACCTCTCAGTTATAAAGGAGAGAGGATGAAAAACGTTATATGTGCGCAACAGAAATTGTTCGTCCAATAACAGACTAGCTGTTTTCACACTTTAAACTGTACACTCAGACATTAGACTTTGTCAACATGCTAAATTAGAATCTGATTAAATAAATCATTAAGATTTATTGCTTGGACAAAAAAAAGGTTTTCTTGGCACTCCCTGTTTAAAATCACTCATTTATTTTTGAGCTTCCCTGCCTTGTGACACAATGAATAGGTAAGGCTTGTTTTAGAAGCTGTGGACACTCCTACATAGCTCTGTAACTGATATGGGTCACTTCTACAAGAGCATTTAGTTGTGTTTACAGAGCTATGTAGAGTTGCACCATATGACATTATGACATTACTGGGTTATTTGCCTTGTTATTTAGCACCTGTGTGCGGTGACTGGCTCAGTGCTCTCTGCATGTCATTAACCCTTCCCACTGCCACAAAAGTATGCATCCTGTACCAGCGCCTGCTTCCTGACATCACTCGTTTACTACATTTAAGAGATGCTGGATATCTGAACATTTTCTTCTGTTGATAAAGGAGAACACACAATATGCAGCGGCATGCAGTAGTGTTATTCAAAGCTCATTCCATGACACGCAGCATTCATTCATGATATTTATAGATTAGAAGCATACCTGAACATTTTAATCATGGTTTGTTTTTGTATTTAGGTTTTTGCACACCAGTCAAGCCATAAGACTTGCTTTTCCCACAGAAATCCCAAATCTGCAGTGATGTCACAACCGCAAAGGATTCTGGGTGGGCATATGCAAATTAGTTTAACAAAGAATCACATTTTTGCCTCATTCCATTTTAAACATGGATTCCTTTTAATCTATTTAAGTAACATGAAAGTTACCTGAACAGGAAATTATACTCTGCGGTGCATATGGCACACCACTGCTGTGATATGTGATAACGCAAAGTTATTCCTGCTGCCATTCCAGAATGACCGTATAGAGCATCTGAGCATAAAGATCCTAGTTTATTGCAGATCTCCCTGATTGATGTGCTGGCCAAAATTTTTCAATAACCCCAGTCGGAGTGGGATTGAAAATTAAAGTGTTCAAATGTATTTAATGATGGGGAAAACATGTTGGTAGAAAGCAGATCAACATGTTAGTTCTGTTTTAACTGGATCATGATGTTTTGAACCCAGGCATTGATTCTTGTAATGCAAATTGATATCCATTTATCCATAAATAACATTTCTACAAATTGGAGTACAGAAAGTATAAAACAATCAAGTAAAAATGGCGCTAAAAAATAAAAAATAGTATCACTTACAAAGGCTAGCAAGCACTAATAAAAGTGAAATAGCTCTAAAACCACTTAAATAGAATACAACAAAAGAACAAAAGATCAATATGTAAACAAATGATCCAACTGTAGTGAATAAACCGTGAACAGATGTTACTGAAAAAGGTGGATTTTATCAATTGGGAGGTTGACAACAATATCCATGAAGTCAAGGTACTTCGAAAATACCGCGTGGACAAAAGAGAAGATTACACAAAGTATAATAAGCTCAGCAGGAATGTTAGAGAACTTGCACAAAAAATTCGAGACCTAGATGAAAAAGACACTTTTCGAATCCAGAGTACTTCCAAGCTTCTAGAGAAACTAATAGCCTTCTAAGTAAGACGGGTATATGTTCTGAGAGACGGCAACCACCCGAACGTGATTTGAGGAAGCCGTCAAGGCGAAACGCGTCATCACGTTCTTCAGACGTACGACGTCATTACGTGTCAGGAGCACCTCCTACTCCCGGAAGCATCTATCCACTGAAAGACCGCAAGTGCATGCCGCGAGTCAGAAGGGGATCTGCACCAGCTTGGCTTCCCAGGGAGAAGGGTGATGATTCACTGTGAAATTTTATACTAATAAAGTCTTATTTTTATTTGGTGCCGTCCTGCTTGTTTCAAGCACATCTATCTACTATCCTACAGAATCCTGATGAGAGGATTTGAAAGCCTTTATAGTTGGAGCAGACTTTATTCTGCTCTACCATTGTGCGTGATATTCTTCTATTATTTTCTGATAACATTTGTGATACAGAGTTACACTATATTGTGTTCTTTTGTTCCTCTACTCTTTATTTTTATGTGGAGCGTTTTAAAGAGATACTCCTTCAAGTGTCAGCAGAGTCTAAATTTAAAGGAGTAAGTGCTTTGTTGTTTGAATTTCACATAGAGCACATATTCACAGGGTATTTACCACTGGATTAAATTTATTTGCACTTTAATAATATATATATTATATTCGCACTTTATTCACTACAGTTGGATCATTTGTTTACATATTGTTCATATTGTTACATTAGCACTTAAAGGCACAGCGCACTTTTGTTCTTTTGTAACATTTCTACAAATGTCCATTCCTGTGCGTGTGTGTGAAAGGTCCTCGAAAGACCTTTGCAGTGCCTAAATTGCAGAAATCAAAATATTTCCGGCTAGAAATTTAAAATGTTTTATTGGGCTGTGCCCTTAAACAGGCAGGAAATCAAAAGGGAAACTCACTGAAAAGTAACAGACATGTAGCATGGGTATCAACATTTCACACTAATGCACCATCTTTAATGAAATACATTAGGTACAACTAGAGTACTCCTTGTAAAAACATGAACCTATTTGTACCTCTCCTCAAACCATTCTAGAACATTAGTGTTTTATTCTAGACACATAAATATTGCAGACTAACACAGTAATCAAGTTTGTGTAAGCATGTTTTGGTTTATTTTTGTTGTAAAAAAAGAAAATATACAAAGGTAGAAGAAAAAAATTGGAAATAGGGAGCCTTTTGATACAAAGGTGAGTGAATAGAAGCAGGCAGATATACTATTAGAATCAAAGATTAAAGGAACACTCAAAAAACCATAAGTAATAGAGGTTATGGTCCCTGGATTGCCCTGGGCACTCATGTGGGACGTAGCTCATTGGCTGAGAGCGATCAGTAAGGCTTGGTTCAGGAGAGCTAATGGAAGTTCTTGCTCATGAACTTTTTGCTCTTAGAAGATGGTAGTGGAGGCAGCGCTCGGTGGACTAAAAGTAAGAAGTCACACTGTACTAAAGTGAACAAACTGTAGTGGCTATATTTGGAGTGTTTTAATATGTTTAAAGTTGTTTTTCCAACAAGTTATCCATTATATGAATAAATCATGTTTTTGGATGAAAGCTTTCCAAAACATAGAGATTAGAGTATGGGTTGCAGTGCAGATGGAATAAACCAAATGTAGATGGCTTTTGCAGTTGATATGTAGTTCAGTTTGCAATAAGGTCTTGGACCAATGTAATCACTGGTTTGACATATTTGGCAACTTATTTTCTAAGAAATAAACTTAAATTCATTTTACATTTATAGGTGCAGCTCCAAACTCATTATTTTTAATCTGATCAAATCTGTGGGACACAGTTGCTGATCTCAATGGAAACCGCAATTTCAATAATCATGGCAATCAATAAATATCAGGCATGTCAACCCCTTAGCACAGGGCTTGACATGTTTTCCTAGAATTTAGCACATTGGGCCAAATGTTAAGAGCTAGACAAAATTAGATACACATCAATGTCAAGTATTAGGAGCTAGACACAAATAGAGGCTCACTCTTTCTCACAAACTCTGATAGATTTAAATCTAGAACTGTTAAAACAATATGATTTTAACTTAGAAACAATATATCTTTTAATTGTATGCTGCTTATCTTAACAACTTATATATTGTTTTAACACCTTTTTTGGGCACCCAAGAGAGTGCTATTCTGTGGGGAGGTATGGAGAGTCACTACCAACAATCACTACATCAGAGGCAAGGGGAGCCCCTTTTTCCAAGGCAGCAGGAGCCCTCCGCTTTATAGACCTGCATTTAGCCGCAACCAGCCTGGAACTCCTCACCAGATCGATATGTGGCCAATACCCAGTCGAAACTGTATTCGATTATTTTTCGGGCTTGGCATCTCTGATCCGGCTGATATTTGGAGTACGCAATAGGGAATCGAGACTTGTCCGGGACTGTATAATTGTGTTGTGGGACTGCATGGTTTACGTTGTTGCGTTATAGGAGAACCAGCCAGTAAGCGCTCTGACCAAAAGCCACTCAGAACTTTCGGCATGCAGAACATGATTTTGCTTAGTTTGACATAGTTAACCTGATACAATTTGGATATTGAATTGGGCAACAACACTGCCCGAAAGGTCAGTTGATCTGTCCTTCAGTCATGTGAAAAATTTATTTTTGAGGTTATTCAATTGCCGCTTCTCTGGGTTTGAAAGGAATACTCCATTACACATTTTGGCCTTGGGTTTACTATAGAAAGCCTTCACTGCCGCTGTGAAGCGGAAAGGGAAGTTACATTTGCTGAGTACTGCTTGCAGGAATGACCGATTAAAGGGACACTATAGTCATCAGAACAACTACAGCTTATTGAATTTGTTCTGGTGAGTATAATCATTCCCTCCAGGCTTTTTGCAATAAACACAGTCTTTTCAGAGAAAATGCAGTGTTTACATTACAGCCTAGGGATAACTCCACTGGCCACTCCTCAGATAGCTACACTAGGTGCTTCCTGGAGCAGTGCTGCACAGTTTGCAGTACTGCCATTCAGTGTCTCCACCTTCTGCATGGAGACAGTGAACTTTCCTCATAGAGATGCATTGATTCAATTCAACTCTATGAGGAGATGTTGATTGGCCAGGGCTGTGTTTGACTTGTGCTGGCTCTGCCCCAATCTGCTTTCTTGACAGTCTCAGCCAATCCAATGGGAAAGCATTGTGATTGACTGACTCAGAAAGCTTCTGATGTCAGCCAAGTAGGCAGATCAGGGGCAGAGCCAGCAGCTGATGACTTTTAATATATTTAGCAGGGTAAGGGGGGTTAGATGGTGATTTCAACCTATAGGGTCAGTAATACATGTTAGTGTTTCTTTAGTGTTTCTTTAAGGTGATCGAAAATCTTTGACTTCTAATGAGAGAAAAACGCTCTTGCTTATTTTTGTTTTATTAAGGCTATAAAGGAGATCGAGTGCTTTGCATGTGCCATCTGTTCTTTGCCTTCCTCTGACAAAACCTACTTGATCTGAGTGTATGATGGTATGGAGTAAATCAATCAGTCTGTTGGAGAATTCTCTTGCATAATTTTGATGTTGAACTTGAGTAGAGAGAGCAGAAAGTTGGGCATTTATTGGGTGGCTTGCTAGCCTTTTCGTAGTGTGGAGACATGTGCCGTTAATATCTCAGATGATGGGGTATACTGTTTTTATAATAAAGGTTCAAAAAGCTGTCTGGCACTGGGGCTTTCTCCTTGGTGTTTGGTCGATTTGCATGTATAAAGGTCTCAATTTATTCTGATGCCTGTGGGTAGGCGAACTTTGGAAAGGAATCAGTCTGTTTCCTGACTGGTCGGTTGGTGAAGGGCGTTACCATCTTTTAAAGTTATATAAATGACTATAGAACTTTGTAAACTCATAACAAACATCTTGGGGTTTTTAGATGTTTATGGCCATCTGTTGTAAGGAAGTTTGTCTTCTCATTTCATACAGCTCTCCTCTGTTTGAGTCTCTTCTTGTTTGGAGTCTTTTGAATGTATTGGTTAATCCCTAAGATAGTTTCTTAACTTCTTATCTTCTGTAGCAAAATAATTAAACAATTAATTTGTTACTGCATATGGTATGTATTTAATAGTAAAACCATTAGCTTGCTATATTAGTGTGCTTACAATACTTTTGTATATCAAAGAACATGCTTTATTGGAGTGTAAAGCTATCTCCTGCATAAATAGGAAGGTTACAAAATAACAGAAGGTGGTGCTTTTAATGTAAATACAATTGTACAGAGGCTTCCTGTTCTTTGAAGAAAAGAAAAAGGAAGGATGTAATTCTAAACAACAAGTTCATTTTTGGTCACATTCCAATTCATACACTAATTTTTACAGCACCTTAATGGAAGACTACTGGTAACGTTATTCTAGGATTTAATGTTAAACAACTTATTATTAGTTTCCCTCAATGTAGCTGTATGAACGTTCATTATGCTTAAAGGATCACTATAGGGTCAGGAACACAAACTTGTATTTCTGACCCTATAGTGTTAAAACCACCATCTAGCCCCCCTGGGCCCCTCATGCCTCCATAAATATAGCAAAATCTTACTGTATTCAAGCCTGAAGTTGTAACTCTGCATGCTGTTAGACTCAGAAAAACAAGCAGTCTGCTGACATAATTAGAAGTGGTGGCCTTATACAAGTCCCATGCCTGTGATACAATGTTAGCCACTGATGAAGTGAACCTGTGTTTACAGAACCCATTAGGCGGGACATTTGAACAGAATCAGCAGAGTTGGAAGCAATACACAGAGCAGTCCGAGCCTCAGTGGGATTCATATTGACATTGCGACACTACACACTCCTGTGCCTTGTTAGTTCCTGGATTATTACATTAAGAAGCGCCCACTTCTCCTCCTCAAACCGGCATGTGGAGGTAAACTGGGAGTGACTGGCACTTTCTAAGGGCTGGGTTCCCCAAAAAGCAATTCCCAATTCACGGTCTTCTGAGTGTTTTTAATCTCTTTTGCATTTATTAAATTATTGTTTTAGCTCTGTGAAAAAAAAAAAAAAAGTGGTGGCCTGATACAACCACAATGCTTCCCCATAGGATTGGCTGAGACTGACAAAGAGGCAGATCAGGGGCAGAGCCAGCATGATTCAAACACAGCCCTGGCCAATCAGCATCTCCTCATAGAGATGAATTGAATCAATGAATCTCTATGAGGAAAGTTCAGTGTCTGCATGCAGAGGTAGGAGATACTGAATTTTTGGATGCATTTTAGGCAGCCATGACCCAGGAAGGATCTCTGACAGCTATCTGAGGAGTGGCCAGTGAAGTTATCACTAGGCTGTAATGTAAACACTGCATTTTCTCTGAAAAGACAGTGTTTACAGCAAAATGCCTGAAGGTAATGATTCTACTCACCAGAACAAATCCAACTAGAAAAGCTACAATTTCTCTAATCAAAGGGTCACGTAGGGATTTATCCATCTTTAAGGCCATTATTGAAGGAATTTTCAATTAATCAATAGCTGAGTTGGCCCTTTGTAAAATGTGCTAATATTTCAGTTTTTTTGTTTTGGTTTTTTTTTGTGTGAATGGGCTCTATAATGACTAACAACACTCATGGGAGGCTTGTGTGTCTTCAGATTATTTACTTGCCTGTTAATCTGAGGCACAAGTTTACAACGATCTTTAGTGTTATAAACAGACTGTTCTTATATGAGCTATTTCTTTGGATATCCTTGTTGTCCTGTTGTAGAACTTATTTTTATTATTATACATGTCTGTGACTACAGTTATCTGTATTGATGACCATAAACTTGACTGTGAAGTGTTCTTGCCTCCACCAGTAGTCTACAACTGGAGTGGGCGGAGTAACTGTTATTATTTATTTATATAGCACATTTAATTGCAATGTTGTTGCCCAAAGTGCTTCACAGTTACATTAAAACATACATTTATAAAAATTTTATACACACACACACACATATATATATATATATATATATATATATATATATATATATATATATATATATATATATATATATATATATATATATATATAAAATGATATCAGTAATAATACTACCTACTACTTTATAAGGTGGTCTCTATTTCACAACCCCCATAGATGAAGAGCGAGAAAATAATAATACCATGACTTTCATTCCGAAAAGAAAGTTACAGTAAGTATGGAAACTTTCTACATTCTTAATGATACCATAGCAACATTGACTTATGGTAAATACCCAAGCCATACATGTATGCAGTGTGATATAGTTTAGATATCAGCTAAAACAAAGATCTTGGACATCAACTAAAATGTACAATAAACATTACTGATATACATTAATATCAAAGTCAACTTCTTAAAGTGTAACCTCCTCAGTAGGAAAATCAATAGTTTAATTTATGGTACTATATCTGTCCAGACAAAAGGAGTGTACTCTTTTTGTCTGGAGACCTAGAAAATAGCTTTAATACAATCAAAATATTGATTGTGTACGATTTTTCCAGGTCCATTTCGAACGTGTATTGCCTGCTGAGACAGGAACACTAGTCAGCCAATTTCAGGAGGCAAATGGGAAGTATAAGCATAATGTATATAACATTTATATATAGGCATATGAAATAACAATCAAAATTACATGTAGGCAAATGAAAGCAGCCAATCGCTGTAGATCTGGATAGAAGACTTCTAACACATATTAAGATGGTTTCATATATAGCCATTTTTCACTGTCATCTACCGTATAAAATATAGGAGTTCTATATAATGCACAGTCATATGTATTTACCATGATATGACATTTGGTCCCTCTTTAAAACACCTCAATAGCTTGTCAAATTTTGGTTGTCAAGATGTGAACCAAAACAAATCCACACAAGTTGTTCCAATACAGGGACTTTCCTAATTATTCTGAATATTACAACATACAATAAACAGTTTTTTTACCTGCTAAGAGGGATTGAAAATTGAGTTGCAAGGCTTACTCTGCTTTTCTGCTATAGAAATACCTAGATCAGTAGAAGTGGCCATCTGGTAATTAAAACACTTGAAAAATAACGAACTAATCTAGCTTTAAAGAAACACTACCACCTTCATAAGACTGTCATCTTATTTAAGTCTTGCATTCAGGGGTTAAAAACCATTTTGCAATAGTTTAACCCCTAAGTTTGTTCTTTGGCACCTGACACAGTTGCTCCCTGTCTTCCATCACCTCTGACTGCCCAGTATGAGGACGATTTTGCTGAGCTGCTGGCGATTGACTGAGAGTGTCACTTACATTGGTGCCAACAGTCCTGAGTCTGCATAGACAGCCTCACATTTTAGGATACTGTTTCAGCAAATTTAGGTCCTAGGAACCTGCCCCCAATTTTGGAATCTGATGGCAGATTTCAAAATGCAGGAGGTGATTGGACACTTGTACTATGTTTAGAGTATTTCAGCATTGCTCCAGGCATGGCCTGTTTGAGGGAGCAACACAAGAGATTCAAATGAAGGATAAATTCCACCAAAGTGAACCCGACACCGTTTCAACTTACTATGGTTTTTGTCAAGCTTGTGCTTACCACACTGTTTACAGTGCTTTTAGGGTGTTTGATGCCTTGCTACATTGTGTGCTTTAAAGCCTGAAGGTACAGGAGCATTGGGGACCTTTAAGTACATGTGTGGCGCTCACAGCAATGTGCGTAAGACTCTACCATAGAGCATTATCGAATAGATTGATTCTATATGGCCGACCATGACGGCACTGGGCATGCACACGTGACGTTATTGTATGAGAACCGGGAAGTAAGATTCCTGGCTGTCATACCCAGAGGCTTGGAAGTGCAGCTTCGAGCCACACTTCCAAGCCCTCTGTGTAGGAGAGCCAGGAATCTATATAAGCTTATCTGAAAGCTATCTTCCACTTGCAGGCAGTGCATACGTAAAATATGCACAGAATTGACATTAAGTAGCGCGGAACATCTTGGTGCCAGATAGCACAGGACACGTTCAGAGGTTTGGTTGAGTCCATGCGTTGACGTATTAGAGCTGTTTTGGCAGCATGAGGAGGAATTACACAATGTGATTTTAATATTGTGGCTGATCTGTTTAGAGACAGCCTGTTTCCACAGCCAAGGGGCTCCCAGCATTTTATTAAAAAAAAAAAAAGAAAAAAAAAAAGTGCACTGCAAAGAAATGTTACAATATGTCATGAAGATGTATCAGAAAAAATGTTTAGATACACTCAATAAGCATATGTTGCCAGAGTGAAATGGTAATTAATATTTGTACCACAGAAAGTTCAATTCCTAGAAAAAATACAATGTACCGGAAAACAGGCAACAGCCAACTAGAAAGACGTGAGTCTGGGGGAAACAAAAATAAAGCGTGTATTTGAGGTTTAATCAAGGCAAGCAAACTTTATAGGAACACATAAAAACAGCAAACAAATCTGTCTCGTTTCAAACCATCAAGTGTATGGTTCCAGTAAGCTTCAAGTTTCTTGAGAAGTCTCGTCTGCCACCCAGATGCGTTTGTGTAGCAGTCATCATTCACTTAAGTTGTGATGCTGTTTGGTTACATGTACAAAAATTAAAAGGGACTTGTTTGTCCAATTTGAGCCCACTCTTGCATTTGATCAGAGATACCACAACTGTTTGTTTGAATCCTAAATTATTTGCCAGTCTGGTGATGTAAAAATTGCTGGCTTTTAAGAGCTACTAGAACTACAGTTTAGGCAAGGAAAATTTCCAACCTGTGCTTTACCATGGAATCTTTGTTGGAATTAGAATAAGCAGGGGAGCTTTATATTCCGCTTTAATCAAAGGGTCACTTAGGGATTTATCCATCTTTAAGGCCATTATTGAAGGAATTTTCAATTAATCAATAGCTGAGTTGGCCCTTTGTAAAATGTGCTAATATTTCAGTTTTTTTGTTTTGGTTTTTTTTTGTGTGAATGGGCTCTATAATGACTAACAACACTCATGGGAGGCTTGTGTGTCTTCAGATTATTTACTTGCCTGTTAATCTGAGGCACAAGTTTACAACGATCTTTAGTGTTATAAACAGACTGTTCTTATATGAGCTATTTCTTTGGATATCCTTGTTGTAGAACTTATTTTTATTATTATACATGTCTGTGACTACAGTTATCTGTATTGATGACCATAAACTTGACTCTGTATAGATAACTCGGAGGGAGTGCAAACAACAAGTCCTGTCATTAGATTTAACAAACAAATGTCTCCAATGCAAACACCCCCCCCCCTTTTTTATTTTATTTATTTTTTAACCGTAGTGTTAAGGAAAACTTACAGGAACATTGATGGAATTAATCTCCTTCACTCTAGTGCTGTGGCTCTATGGTTGATTGTTGCTGTATTGGTGGTTATTATAAGGAGGCTATGAGAACACCATCTGTATATTGCAGTGCAGATCCCTTGCATAAATTCTTTATGAAAGACCAGCCCACTTGAAGGTCAGTCCCGTCCCCTTGAAAGGCTGATATGCCCCCTGCATGCCTGCTCTCTCACCTGCCACTTCTGAAAGATGGGCAGGGATGTTGGTAGGCATTAACCTGTCAATCACCTTCTATTGAGAGAAACCGTATGTGCGACCTAGCAAATCCTTCCTCATACTGTGAAGGCATATAGAAAGGAAGTGGTGGGAGGGACATCTGTGTTGGGCACCTAGGGACCAACTTTGAGGCTAGTCTATTGCAATAAGATTTATCCTCTGAAGGTATGACTGTGCAAGGACATTTCTGCTTGTATAACATTGTACAGCGCTGTGAAATTTGTTTGCGCTACATAAATAATAACTTCAATGAGCTAAATTAAGGGGGTGGTAGTGTTCCTTTTATCTTAAATGGTTATGATTCCTTAGCAGTGAATTACATTATGATTTTCTTTAGCTCCTTTACTTCCTGTATGGAGTAGGGGAGGGGGGTATTTCTGTTGACCCTTTCTGAAAGGGTTCTAGACTCTGCTCAGGACTTATTTTAGGTTATTCCTGTGGAAAACTTCTCAATAAATAAAGAGGTACTATGCACATCAGAAAATAAAGAGATTGCAAAATGCATGTCCCACGTATGGTTAAAGTGTTACTTTATGATAAATTTACTATTCATATACAAAATACAGTTGAATGATCTAGGCATCTTGTGTTTACAAACTCACAGAACTCATAATTACCTTTTGACTTAATTAACTATAGACTAATGGGGAAAAAAATACTCTGATACCTACATTTCTACATTTTGAAAGTTATAGATAATAGACATCTGCTTTACAAATATACAATGTCTGATCAGTGAGGAGAAAAACAAGCTGCTGGGGTTGCAGTATTTTGCAGTTTCACAAAACAATCGCCTGTTTGATCAATTGAAGTACATTCAAACCACAGCATAATGGAAAGGGAGGCTACTACATGTTCTTGCCTCAAGTGTATTTTTTTCCTAGTCACGCCTTATGTTCATTAGAGCAATATAAATGCACAAGATGTGACACTGGAATGAAAAAGCTCTTACTCTTATCTCTTACGCCACTCTAATTTTCACATGCAGAAATATTTAAGATTGGAAGACAAAAAAATGCTACTTTCTACCTTTTTAATCTGGAGTATATGAACATACAGTTGAATTACTGTAAAACAGATTGTTGTAGGAGTGACCTTAAAGAACACTATAGACACCAGGACCACTACAACTTAATGTTGTGGTACTGGTGAATAGCCTGTCCCTGTAGGCTTTTCAGTGTAAATGCTGCTTTTTCAGAGAAATTACAGTGTTTACATTGCTGTCTAGTAATCCCTCTAGACGGCTACTAGAGGTGCTTCCTGTGGCAGTGCTGCGTTGATTTAATTCATCTCTATTAGAAGAAACTGGTGCGTGCACAATAGCCTCCCAATGCTTTCCTGTGGGAAGGCATTGGATTGATTGAGATAATAAAGTTTGATAATCTCTATCATGGAGGCGGAGCCAACAGCTGCAAGAACGGCACAGCATGGAAGAAAAGGGGGGCAAAATCATCTTATTACAGCACAAAGGGGGACTAGACACCTAAATAGGTATTCTTGGATTTATAGTTCTAAAATAACAGTTTTCGACACTATATAGTGTTACTTTAAAACTATTTTCCTTTTTTTTATTTTTTTTATTCCAGGTCTCCTTCAGCAATGGTAGGGGAACTTATTCGGCTAGACACCTGCAGCCCATACAAAGACACTAATTATGTCTCCAAAGATTAACTCATTAGAGGGAAAATAATTCCAATTCAAAGCAAATACTTTCTGATATAACATGTGAATGTGTGTGTATGTAATAATTATCAGCATATTTGTGTTTCTATATTAAATAGTTTTATTATTGTATAGTAATATTATATATTGCTTATATATTGCTTATATATCCTGGTACAGATATATTTGTCTCATTTTTGATCTGTATCTTTCTTTCGGCAGGGTTGTTGCTATACCTGTGGCCAGAGCCATGGGTATAAGGAGCAAAGTACGACTAAAAGCTTCGGTTAATCCAGTTTTGGAAGATTTCTACATCTCGTGCTCTAAGCGCCCATCTCAAGTAAGTTATTTTCAAAGATGCACACTACAGAGCAAAAGTCACAGTATATCGCTACAGATGTCTTTAGAAAATATATTTTACTATGTTTACATTTGTCAGACCGCAGGGGCAGTTTATTTTAATTTTTTTTAATCTATCACTACATTTAATGAACACTCGAAGGAGTGCTTGATGTTTTGCTATGGGGTGAATGTGCTCAGTAGGTCTGTCATGCTCCGTGTACTAACTAATAAAAGAACAAAGAATGAGCAACATTCGCCAAATCAGTATCTAACTTTAGAATAGTGGGTAACGATAGTGAGATCATTTGACTGTGCAAATTATACATGTTGCATGTTGTACAGACATGCAAAGCACAGTATGCTGCTCTGGGATAAACTTAAAACTACAGGAGTGTGGGCCAAGAGGAGTTTGCATATAATGTTTGTTATATTTACATAGATGGAATAGATTTTAAAAACATTTCTAAATTGTTGACTGCAGAATATTAATCTCTAAATATAGGTATCCTGTAGATTTGATAGCAGGATGTAGCTTATTTACACATTTCTGAATAAACTATATCTTAATGTACCAAACAAACAAATGAACGACAATGACGTATTGTTAGTCCTTCAATATATATGCAAACAATATTGTCTCTTTAACCCCTTAAGGTCTTTTCTGAGCTCTTATTTGCTATGCCTTTTTTATTTATTTTTTTAGCATAATTTAACACTTTCTGTTTAAAGAAACACCCCAGATAAATAAAGTTAATCTTGCGGAAGTGCTTTATGTGTGTGGAGTCTGTCCTTTTTGTAACATTTTATAAAAGTGCAGCTATCAATAAAATCAGCACTTTTCTATTTAGGGACATAATCTCCACCTTGACATTCATTCAGAGAGGTTTTCTTCCGCTTCTGTTAGCTCCAGAGCGCTAACGGAAGCAGCAGGAGTGCCAAGCTACAGCATGCCTGCTTCCCCCCCCCCTTTTCAATAAGCTGTACTACACCTCATGTACTGGCATAGGAAAACTGATCCCATACATGCCCGCAGCTCCAGTAGAAATGCTTCTTAATGAGAAGCCTCTGATTGGAGTGTTCCCTGGCACAAACTGAAGGTCTGCGTGTGTATTTTGGGAGTATATCTACTAAATTGTTAAAAAGGAAAAAAAAGAAATTCTAAAGATTTTTTTTTTTTCTGTGTGCCCATACATATTATGTATGAATAGACTGGTTAGAATTTCTTCTCATACCCTAAATGTATACATAACACAACTTGAAAAGTGAAATATTACATGGGGGCGGGAAACTTTTTTTTTTTTTATTTATTTATTTTTTTTTATTTATTTATTTTTTTTTTTTTTTTCAGTTTTGCTTATAATAGACATGTGTAACTAAAGAAGCAAAACTCAAATAGGTTCCACTTTTAGTCCTAGGTGCAATGCACAATATGTTCATGATTTCAACACATTTTTGGACGTTATAGGACAAATATTGCAAGGAGTGATCTTGTTTTAAAGGGATATCTACAGCTTATTGCATTTGTTCTAGTGAGTAGAATCATTCCCTTCAGGCTTTTTGCTGTAAACATGGTCTTTTCAGAGAAAATGAAGTGTTTACATTAATGCCTAGTGATAACTGTACTGGCCACTCCACTAGATGGCTGCTAGATGGCTGCTAGAGGTGCTTCCTGGGGCAGTGCTGCCATTCAGTGTCTCCACCCTATGCATGCAGACACTGAACTTTCCTCATAGAGATGCATTGATTCAATTCAGCTCTATGAGGAGATGCTGATTGGCCAGGGCTGTGTTTGGCTTGTGCTGGCTCTGCCCCTGATCTGCCTCCTTGACAGTCTCAGCCAATTCTATGGGGAAGCATTGTGATTGGTCAGACCACCACTTCTGATGATGTCAGCAGGCAGCTGCAGACTTGAATACATATAAGATCTTACTATATTTTGGGAGGCAAGGGGGGACAGGTGGGCTGAATGGTGGTTTTAACACTATAGGGTCAGGAATACATGTTTGTGTTCCTGACCCTACAGTGTTCCTTTTAAAGCTAAACCTTTTCAAAGTTGAATTATACTGCTGGTACATTGAAGGCATAATGGAAGCTCATGTAGTCATTATAGGGTTAAAATCTGGGTGCAAACAGCACACCACAAAACCCCACTCATGTTTAGGGTGCAGGCACAAGTTTAGATAATCCCAGCGTTTCAACTGGAAGGCCTTTGTCAATAGCTAGGTTCTTGTAAGTTGTTTCTCTAGACCAGTTATTTGTTTTTAAATTATTTTGAGATATGAATTTGTACCTTTTGACATCTATGATTTGATTCATGTTACCGATTTGCACACTATATATTACTATACTCACTCATACTAAGTCAAATTGAAAGTTACATTTCTAATTGGTAGGTGTCTACTTTATCTTTTGGTTCAATCATGGACAGAGAGGATGATAACTTTTTGATGTAAACATTATCCCTCAATTTAATTAGCAGTTAATGAATGTGTAACCTTCTGGGTGTTTTTTTAGGCAATGCACAATGAAGCCTGAATGAGTCTCTCAAAAATGGTTACTTTATAATAATAATCTGTAACTATCTTTCCCTATTGACTTAATATAGAAGTTCCATCCAAGTAGTTCACTTTCTAAATACCAGGATTTGAGATCCCCAGGGATCTCGGGTGATATTTTGTTTGTCTTAGGGTACAAGCCCATGGTAGAACTGGCACTATCCACACTGACTATGGCATGTTACCTAATTGTATGTCACAGTGAAGGAAATGCATTGTTTTTATTCTTTAATTGAAATAAAGTATTTTATTATTCATTTATTATATACTGTATGATGTGATGCTGTGATATGAAATTTACCAGCCCAGAACTCTTGTTCCAGCCTGACTAATGCCCTGATACAATTGTAAGTGCATGTTCTGGCAAGTTATATGTTTTGCCTCAATTTCTTTAAGAAACTTGCATCACTGATGTGCCTTACTGGTAATTGACTGTTTTCTAGTGAGCCTTAACCCACTAACCATACAACATTATTTTTGCACAGAATTACTAAAAGGAACACTCCACTGCCCATATTCAAACACAAAAAATACTACTTATTAGATATTCCCTTAATGAAAGCATGCATGCAAGTCATTTATGCATTTTTTTGTTTTAAAGTGGGGTATAGCTAAAAAAGAAGCTGAAAATATCTTGTCTGAACCCATTTCAACCCCTCACCCCCCACCCTTCTTTTCCAGCTCAGATTATTTGTGACTGTCCAATCACATACTTCTTAATGCAGCTTCACTGAGCTAAACTGGCAGTAACAGGACTGCTTGTCTGATTGACAGCCTGGAGTGTAACAAGGTTAATTTATAAAAGTGCCAAACTTTATTGAAATCTGCACTTTTTGTAAAATTAAACTGATTTAGGCTTTTGAAATGATCCTTTAAGATAAGGAGATGTAAATTTTAAATTTTTTTGTTTTGTTTAACTTTCTTTCAAAGAAAGACCACACCTCTATAATACAGGTATTTCTTTTTAATGGCCTGCAGCATTATTACAGTTCATAGATGTGCCTCTCATATAAACCTGGACAGCCGTTCAGTTTCTTTTCAAGGCAAGGATTTTCTGCCTAGATTTGAACTTCATATCCCATGAGCCAATGCTAGGCAGAGGTATAGAGTGGCCTGATTGGCTGACTATCTTTCTGCTCTGAGCAGATCTGAGGACTTGGAGCAAGTGTATGAAACTTAAAGCTTCATATCTTTTGTCTCTATTATTTAAATTCACCACCACAGTCTGCTGAAGTGCTCTGACACCATCCCAGTGTAATTTGTGTAAAGTATGGTTTAACAACTTACCTGGGTTCATACCATGCTTCTGGAAATCTCCTACAGCAACCGGTTAGTTGTATTAAGTTAAGCAGGGCCGTGCAGGGGGTCATTCTGTTGCACTCTGTGATATATGGTAAGGGTATATAACTGCTGGTGTTCTGCAGGACCCGGTTAACTACTGCACAATAGTTTGATAAAATACACTGGAACAGCAGCAGGGTACCCCTGGAACCATAATTACTATAGTGGGCTTTAGTGTTTATAGTGCTTAGAGGGTTCCTTTAAATGTAAAAAGCCAACATGTGAAACACAAAGCTGTAAGATAAAGCATGTACAAATGGTGAATATGCTTGTTGAAAATGAATATGGGGAAGTCTCATTATCTCCAGATGTTTAGATACAAGCATTTAAGAAAATGTGTGAAATGGTCTTCCTTATATTCGTATAACTGCTGACATGCAGATATTTGGTTGAGAATTGGTATTACTTTTATTTATAGCACCAATGTTCTTTGTCAATAATAATCTCTTTAGCCTGACCTATTTAATAACCAGGTAAATATTTTTTCCTTTGTTTTCTCAAACAAGCCACAAATGTTTGCAAATGCATACACATTGTTTGTGTAACAGGGGACAAAAACTCAGTTCCTAAACTACAGTCTGTCCATCCAGAGCATTCTACAATGTGGTCTTCCTTGTGACTTGATGGCATTGCCTATTGTCACTGTTCAGAGACAGAGCCTCTTTGTCTTCACACACAATGACACTGTGACACAAGCTGTCTCTGATTATAGCACAGGATCATCTATTTTAAAAAGGAATAATGATTTTTGCCATGTTTGTTTCGGTCACAGTTGTGTTGTTTGAGATTTGCCTCTGTCTATACCATTACAATGTCTTCCTAGGGTTGCCCCGACTTTAAATGGGTTCTCGATTTAAGCAAGGCATTTCTTTTGATTCTGTTGTGCAACTGCTTATCAAAGCAAGCCTCTTGAGTTTGCTAGCTTTATTTTAGGTGTCCCGGTCCTGTAAGAAACTCTTCCATTAGGGTTATCAAAAGAGAACCTGGTTTGCCTTTCATCCAAAATCTCTACTTTTCTTGAATACTACTAGTTATGCCAAACTCCAGTTTTGAGATTGGGTAGGATATTTTCATAAACATATAAGCGAACATAATTCACGTTTGGCAATAAAAAACTGCTTCCAATAGTGATGTAGAGCAACCCCACTCTATTAAAAGATACAACCATTCTATGAGCCATAAATTGGCCACAATGAGACAGTTTGACAAAAATCAATTACACTGTGCTTAATGCATAACAGACCAAACACAGCTTCATAAGTAGTCCTTGGTACTAGACTGCCTGTACAGGACAGACCACCACAGAGACAGAATTAGAACTTATCAGGACTTACCGAAGCTCTACAAGAGACATTCAATTCTCAGCTGGGTAAAATCAGCACAGGAGTAAAAACTAAAGCATGTGGGTTTTTTGGTAATATATTATGGTTTGCATTGGAGTGCAATATGAATTGAAAATGAAGACATGTGTAGACATTGGTGGTGAATGGGTTAATCTATATATTGGGCTACCCTAATAATATGTAAACCTGTAGATTGAGTTGGTGTGGTTGTTGTTTCCCCCCCCCAGTTAATATCTGAATGAAATTGGCACCATCTCCAAGGCTAATGGCTAATTCGTAATAAGGGCTAACACATTTTGCAGTTCAGTATAGTCTAAGATGCTAGAGTAAAATGGTTAAATAGGTTTACATATACTTATATAAAATAGACCAAGCACCATGTCCTTAAAGATCCCATAATATACATTGCAACCCTTTTATTCAAAGTGCCGAGTTAGATTGTCTTCAAGCTATAAACGTCAAGTAAGGCAAAAAAATCTAGGCATACTAGGCAACAAATCTGTTTAAATATGTGCTGACCTAAGCAGTGTTTGGTCAAAGCTGTGGGAACCCGGAAACAGGTGTAATATCCTGTTTGAGAGTTGTTACAATTTCACAGAACAGTCAATTATGATGCAATAAAACCACATTTGAAAACGTTTGTTAAAAAGAACACCCAAATCCTACACAACAGGAAAATCCTCAAACACCCTTTTATTTTGGCCATAATATTGATGGTTCAGGTTGAAATTAACCACAAGCAATTCACTGTTTAGTAAATAAACCAAACATGTTCTATTTATTGTAATGGGGCAAGAAACCTGTAATTAGTTTACCTTTTGTTCCAGACACTGCAGAGGCTTTGCCAGCTTAGTACGAGTGGCTGATTTGCTCCAGAAAACTAGCAGTAAGATTTATCTTTACTCTTGACAGGGGTAGTCAATAGTGATGTCGTGAACTTCCCGCGAACGGTTCACCAGTAGTCAACCTTTTAATACCTACCGCCCACTTTTGTAGCTTCGTTGATGATGGTAAAATTTTCTTACTGCCCACCAGTGTCGCAGTAACTAATTTTATAGCGCAAGTGCGATTCATTTGTAAAAAAATTTTTTTTTTTTTTTTTGAAAGGTGTATTATTTATTTTTTTCAAATATGGACTTAAATTTATTGTATTCTATTCTACTTTTTAAGTTGCTTTGTGTAGATAAGGGGTGCAGTGTGTGTTAGTCATTCTGCGTGTGTAAGGGGGGGGTAGTGCATGTGAAGGGAGAAGTGTGTGTGTCTGTGTGAGAGGACAGTGTGTGTGAAGGGTGTAGTGTGGATTTGTCTTTGAAGGGTGCATAGGGTCTATGCTGTCTGTAGGTGGGTGAGATGTAAAAATCTATCTTACTGTCTCCCCCTCCCTTCTTCTTACATTTTACCGGGGAGGGAGGGCATAATGCTGCAAGTCCTGGTGGTCCAGTGGTGGCATGTTCACTTTATCCTGCAGCTCCTCTGGCTGCAGGCTGACTCTCCTGTCCTCCTGCAAGCACAGATCAGAGCATTGCCATGAAAACACGCTGCAACCAGCCTGCTCGCAGGAGGAACACAAAGCCTCCCAGGCTCTTCACTCCCTCTGCTGGAGATAAGTGCCAGCGGGCTGTTGATTGAGATCTTTGATCTCCTCACCAGCCCAAGAGGGCTTACAGCAAGGCTGGCTCAGCATGGGCCGGCAGGGGAGACAAAATGATCTACCCTGCCAGCCTTGGTCCACGGTCATTTTCTGCAGAACCCACCACCTCCCAACTGAAATCCCAAACCAGCCACTAGTGGGCGGTAGGGACCAGGTTGACTACCCCTGCTCTAAAGTGAAATGTGGTATTTTAGAAAATGGTGACTATCTGTTCTAATAAGAACTAATGGTGACAGGTGGTGAGCGCTAAAATAAGGTTAAGCAAACAGTCAAGATGAAAATTGAACATAATAGACATTCCAGTCATATAGGCTTAGATGTATGATGGTAAAGTAAGATGCTTCTACTTGGGTGGATAGGATATCCTCGTGTATCAAGAGACAATAAAGAAGGGAAGGGGAATACAGCCAATCCTGGTGCATTAACTCTTAAAATACAAGAGTGAGTAAAAACACACGGTGGCCTCTCACCTTCTTAGACTTGGCACCTAGTATAGCAGCATGGAATATCGAAACTTAGACTGCATGAAGACTCGTCAGATAACAGCTGGAAAGTTATACACCCATCACAAACAACGCTCGTGATTGGTAATATCACGGGCGTTGTTGAACCAATCAAGGGACTTGGTGAGATATTTAAACCTGG